TGAGCAAACCGCCGACCATTGCTATGGAGAGAGCGATGAGCGCCAGGGTGTCGGTGCAGTTCCAGATTTCCGCGGCGCGAAAGAATCAATGTCTTTAGACAGGCGTTGCGAGAAGTCATTTGCTAGAATAGCTACTCCACGAATCAATCCTAACGCGCCGCGAGCCCCAGACGTCATGCAAGCGTGACATCTTCTGCTCTTAGCGCTTGAGAGACGAAAACCTTGTGGGTGGGTCATGAGTCGTAATATCGTGCGTCACGGTCGCTTCATAGGGATGAAGCATTCAGAGGACAAAAGTTGAAAGGGGTGAGCCAGGTGGCGCTGTTCCGTTCGCATTCCAGGAGGGCGGGTGCGGGGAAGCGGGTACTGGGGCTGCTACACTGTGATCGACGCTCTCCTTACATGATGCCTTTTGGATGCCACTTTGTGGCTTGCGGAAGGCCGGTGCATCGCCCCGGCGGAGCTTCCCGTGCAGGGGGGTGAAGTTTGTGTTTGCGCTACTGTCCGTTCCACCGCATTCTGCTGTTGGGCCGCTGGGTGCCGGGTATGGTCCTGAGTTAGTGACGAACTGTGGCGAGAAGACAGTGTTTCTAGCACTGATGAGAATCCTCGGCCATCAACTTTCGTTATGTGGAGATCAAGCCGTTGCCGTCGTCTCTATGCCATAGTACGCAGCTCGAATTTCCGCGCAGAAAGGCCGAGGCCATTTCTACCGCCGAATTCTTCCGCTGATTGGAAGCCCCTTTGCAAGAGGGTACCTTTCTGTCATGTTCATCCGTGCCATAAATGGGCATGTTTCTCCGTCAACCCATATCATTCTTGGTTGTCCGGGCTACGCGGGGCTGACACTCGGTGGCGTCAGCTGGCTTTTGGGGTAGGCGATCTCACTCTTCAGCAACTGACAGAAGTTCGGGCTGGAGCCACCCACCTATTCTGCGGTATTTCCCGGCAGGAAAACAATGTGTTAGCCTCAAGTGTTGATACGGCCCCTTACATTGCCCTGGACAAGGCTTTCCCAAAAGCATACGGGCATACCCAGACCATGATTAAGGTAAGTGCGGCAAATCAAACGCGCTCCCGCACTTGGTCTCAGTCGGCAAATTTCATCGGGGGTCCTGGGTGCACGGATCAGCCGGAGGAGTCTCTGACGAAACGACCATGAGGCCAACAGGGGAATACGGGCAACTGGCAAACATCATGATCGACAGCATCTATCCATCCAGGATAGCACTAAAATCGCTTTTGTTGTGGGGATTAACTTAAAATCGAGTAATGCTCCGGCGCACAGACAAGCCACGCTACGGACTGGGCCCAATACTTCAGCAGACTAGACACTTGGTCGAACAATGGTGCACCACGGAGACCATCATTGGTTCCGCGATCCCGCCATAGTAGTAGTAGTAGATTTATTACGCCCGGGAGAACGGATCTCATAGAGCCATGGGATACGCTATGCTATTTACATTTCTGCCACCTTCAATCCTGACCACAAAGTAAAGCCCCACTTTCTCTCCCTGGATCGCTTTCGTTTGGCCTCGCTTGACTCTCTCTGACAGGCCTGCTTGAAGGCCAATTTCTCCAAGTGTTCAGCATCCTATCCTCAGCAGCTGAAGCGTAGTCTGTCAAAATGAGGCTGTGTTGTGTTAGTATTGTCTAGTTCTGGTTGTTAGTATGTTCAATTCTCCTCCCTTGGCCCTAGTCTTCCTGTCTCCATCGCGAATTTGATTGTTGCTCGCACCGCCTGTAGGTTAGGTGACCATCTCGGTCCGTCCAACGCCGACTTTCCTCCCAGAAAGAATGAGAGGTTTCCCATCTCGCTTTGTCCGATTCGCCGCATGCCTTCGCGTTGTGCATCCCACTTGCTGCAGCGAAAGAGAAAATGTTCCATCGTCTCGGTTGCCCGTCCGCAATCACACAAGTCTGATTCCACCGCGCCGATCCTCGACAGGTAGCTGTTGATCCTCGCCATTCCCGTGCGTAACTGTGAAAGCGTGTCTGCTTCGCGCCTCTTCAGTCCGTCGTATAGCACCTTTGTGTGTTTTCCTGGTAGCGCTTTGTCAACCCTCTTGGAGAAGCCGCCCACTCTGTCCGGTAGCGTCTGGTGCTGTTGTAGCTGTGCTCTCGCCAGTCTTGTCCGCGTCGATCGAGCTTGGTATGGCGGCGTCTCTGCCGTACGTCCTGCTTCGGTTGCTCTCTGCGCCTGTCTCTTCGCCTTGGGTCCCAAGGGGAACGCGTCGTCCCGGGACGGTACCCAGATCATTTTAACACTGTTGTTGCCTTTTCCCAGCCGTCGGATGTGGTTGTAGATTTCCCGGATGGCGCACTGTCCCGACTGTTGTCGCGGTCGCGCGATCGCCTTCAGAGCTGACTGGCCGCTTGACAGTATGGTAAGTCTTCGGTCCCGTAGTCCGTCAGGCATGCATCGCAATGCCATCGCTATCGCCCCCAACTCGGCCGTGTAGGGGTTCTGGTCGTCTCGAGAGCCGAGGGTGACCGAGTATCTGGCCACGACACTGTTCGCTTGCCCTGCTGCTCTGTGGCTGATGATGCCTCCCATGCCCACCATTCCTCCTTTGTCCGAAGCGCTGGTCGATCCCGCCATAATGCGGGGTGTGCCAGCTGACATGTGAGTGATTACGGCATTCGGCACTTTGCCAGGGGATGATCCGCAGGCAGGGGCTCGGGTTGGGTCATATCGAGGGCCACGCCGCCTATCCCTTAGAGTGCCGTAAACCTCCAGTGCGGTATTTGCAGGGATGACTGGCCAACCAAAGACTAGCGCATGAAAGGTATATCATTGCCCGCATATTTTATATGGTGATAGAAGTTCCAGCAAGCCAGCGTGCTACATAGCGCATCCCCGCCTTGACTGCCGCCGCCCGCTGTTGCCGTTGACCGCACCCAACGGCCTCCGTGATCTGACCTCTCCAAGCCGTATGCCTTGACATGCAAGGCACTCTGACTTTTTCCCTCGCGAGACTCTTTTGTGCTGTGATACAGGCGTAGATTCGTCCCCGACCCGAAGCTTCTACCTTGACTGTGATGCCGGGTGGTACATCTTGATGAGATCATCAATAAGGCGCTGCCTCCACGCAATCTGACTGTTGTATGACTTCCACTTTGGCTGCCCTCGAGCCTGAAGAAGGTAGCTGTTGATGAGGGCTACATCAAGCTGGAAGGTCCAAGCTAGGGCTCGCCAACCCCCTCTTCAAATGCGATATTCGATGCCCAAGTATGACCCCAGTTAGTCACCTCGATCCATAGCACCTATCTGAAAATTGTAGCTAGCAGCTACAGACGGGATCGTAATCATCCTTACTGCCTTGTCACCAAAGAACTGCTGTATCGGCTGTGTCCGCACTTGGACTGTTGTCAGTCTTTTCCTTAGCTGAGTGATAGCTTCGTTGCCTGTGAACACGGTCGATAAAAACTGCATGAGGGCGTTGTCTTTCCACGCGATTTGATCAACCTAGCCCGAGACAAATTAGTAGGGATTTCATATATAAAGCTGTCTGATTGACTGACCTGATTATCCTTTGTAGGGATTACCCTCATCTCATTGAATCGCATCTTTGCAGCAGCCGTGTTATCTATAGCTTTGAGCTTGACAAGGGGCTTGTAGATACCGCAATTCATACGTGCCGTGCCTGTGGCCCCGTAGCCTCGCTGCCGTAGACTTCGAAAGAGGTCGGAAATCACAGCTTGTGTCGGGTTCAAGTAGATCGAATCTTCCCTCTTTGCCTGCTGCCGTCGCTGCCACGTAGATTTGATGCCAACAGGGCCGTATTTGGGCCCCGGCCGGTGCTAAATCCACCGCAAGAAATAGCCCTGCTAGGCTACAGCCCAAACTTTGAAGCCGACGGGGATAGGTTTGTTGGGGACTCTTCTTGTCTCTTTCAATCTCCCTGTGAAGCGGATTATACACTCATCCACAGCGATATAAAGGCCCGCGATAAAGTAGACGGTCGATGCGAATTGTAGGTGATCAGACCAGCCGCTGACCTAGCTGAAGGTCTGGGAAATGCGGCCTTCGTTGATGAGGTTAAAAGGGTTAAAGATGCGGATGTTCCTATATAGCAGCTAAAAGCGGTTGAAAGATATGAATTTGATGATTGAGTGAGAGGGGAGTTGAGACCCCTTCCTTAAAGTCTTCTAATGGTCTTTGATGTTATTTTCATAGTGAATTCCTATGTAAATCATGATAGCAACCTAGATGTATACTTCTACTGTGGAGGTCGGTCTCTAGTCATGTATATGTGAATTCGGGCGTAATTTGGCTCTGCCAGTCCGATGCTCTTTGAGACGGTAGCTAACCCAGTCATTGGTGAATTGGACCCATGTATTAACTAGGGAAATGGGAAGAAAATGCTGGAAAAGGGACAGCGGGTCGTGGGGCAGCTCGAAGGCCCCCAGGAGCGCATCGGTGTTGACGTGCTTACCCCTGGCGATGTTGGACAGAAACGTCTTCTTCCTGGCCAGGATGTCGAACTGTTCTCGGTCGAGCATGTGCTTCGTCGATTCCGTTGATCAATCTTGTTCGATAGGAATTATGGAACCTGCGCCGGCACCACGGGGTATTCCGCGTAGTTGTCGGGCTGGGACTGATTCACACCCTCGGCGCTGCCACATGGACTCTATTCCTTGTAACAGCCTTGATATGATCGAGTAATTTAGCAACTGACTCATGCCCACTCCACGCTGCCATGTGAAGGGTAGCCCATCAATCATTATCAGCAACTCTTGACTTCATGACATTGTCATTCCAAAGTCAAGCCGCAGCTGTACAGCATCGATCAGCGCTTCATTATGTCATATGTCACGACGGTGGTTTGACGTAGCGCGAACAGAGTGGTTCAAGAACAGTTGCATTTAAAGGACCCTTGTTGCCTAAACGCGGAAGAAGCAGAGAGGGATGTTACACTGAGTGGATAGGATCAGGATGATGATGATGAAAGCTCTTGATTTCCTATCTAACGAAGGGCTAGGGATCGGTCTTATAGATGAAGATGAGGGCGGCCTCCGGCGGCCTCCGGCAGCCTCCGGGCCCGAGGTCCGGAGGTCTGAGACCGGAGGACCCACCTGCCGGGGGTCTGAGACCCGGTCCGGATCGGATTCCTAGCAGCCGGTCTGGAAGCTGTTCCAGGCATCGTACGATGATCCCAAAATGTGACAAGGGAAAAGCACAGCAACGAAGACAACATAATTTTCTATCTTTCCACGACGATTACCTGGGCCGAGAAACTAGATACCAGTCCGCAGTGGACACTGCTGATCATAGCATGACTACCGACAGCGGTAGCTCGAGCGTCTCTCTTGTTAACACTGAGCCCATGACATTCTCAACCATACCCCTGACAACTGAGTGTAGCTATGGCGTTTCTTCCACCACTGGTTCACGACGTAGACGAAAAGCTAGCGGGTTGAAGAAAATAGGCGCCAAGCTTGGTTGGAAGCGAATGCAATTCGACCGAAGCTCACACACTTCCGCGTCCGTTGCTAACAAATACGGCAGATATCATATATTACAAGGGTTACCGGTCGTCCCACCGCAACGTTCCTTCTGCCACCACTGCCAAGCTGATGCCTTACGAGACGAGGAGTGCTACATCGGCAAAACATCACTCGATGAACCGCACCCAGGCCGTCGGCTTTGGCTTCCCACAGATACGGGGAAGGCGCCTGCACCAATTGTGATGGAAAGCGGCCTAGGGGACCGACAATGCAAAGGAAGGGATGGTGTGGCCGATTCGGCGGTTCAAAAGTATATTCAGAGGGGCTTTCAGTTTAAGCATGCCACCGAGAATGAGTGGACCCACCGTTCTGCCCTTGACCAAGATGGCTGCTTTATCAAGTTGAGCAACGGCTGTCATTACTCACCTCCTACAGGGCAGGTCAAAGAAATTGAGAGGTGTTATAGGGGAGAGGAGATACGTCTTTTGCCAAGGTCTACCATGAGAGAGGCGCGGCAGGAGCTTCTACTTTTGCAGCTATCGCCACTCCAGACCCGCATCGTCCCCTGGAATGAGCCCATAGATCCTGAGGAGCTCAAGGCTCGTCTTGGAACTACGTCTGCTGAGTATAAATTAAACGAGCGTCATGCTGGGATGGTATACACCCCTTAACTCTTAGAACTCTAAAATAGTATATTACCACTTAGGTATTTAAGGTCTACTTTTGCCGCGAGAACTGGGGACCCCCATGCTTCGTTTACTACCCAAAACTTGACTATACATGTTCTAAGCTTAGCCCTCAGGGCCAGGGCGAATACAAATTTGAACGGTTGGTATCGAAGCGGGAGATACATGGAATCACGTTGTATGAGGGAAAGTGGGAAGGGCAGGCAGACACTGAAAGAATTTGGGTGGATAACGGGGATCTTCGTGCTAAGGATATCGCCGTATTTAAGTTTAAACTATTGAGATAGAATCAGTTCTAGACTTAAGTCTTTATCTTATACCCCGAAAGTTAGGAATTTTCGTATCTATGTTGCGACGGTTCCAAGCATATATATAATTTGCCCAGCTACAGGAGAACTCAGACAACGAAGGTGCATCTACGGCACTCAACTGAAAAGAAGGTATATGGAAAAGCTCTGTCTGGTAAGCCATCTAGACTTGACTATAGCAAAGATATTGATGGTTGAAACAGTGGGGAAAAGAAGGGAAAAAAAGAAATGTTAAAGCAGACTAGCTGCATAGAAGAGAAAAGCTGCTCAGAATGCCAAATCAGATCTCTCTAGATCTATATACCCTGAATTTGGTTGTGAAGGCACGTCAGATATGTCTACGTGTCTTTTGGTGTCGGTGTTTGCGTCCTTTTCTAGCCGGGCAGACTTTTCCAGTGCGGCTGTGCTCAGTCTGCGGCTTGCCAGTGACGGGCGTGCTGAGTTCAGTTGTCGATGGGAGGGAAGACTGCATACTAACATACGGCGTGGTAGGAGTGGTCATGGTAGGAGTGGTCGTGCCAGGTGCGATGCTGGAGGTACTCAATGTAGCGTCGGCGGCGGAGAGTGTGCTCGCGTTGGGCAACGCAGTACTAGTGGCTGCGCTGGTGGAAATCGAAGAAACGGCCGTTGAGCTGACCGCTGTTGAAGTCTCAATGGCTGAAGGGACTGATGGCAAGGTATCGAGATCGGACTCATCCAAATGGTACAGCAAGGAACCCCAGCCAAGTCCATCATAGTGGCCAGAACCCTCACCCCATGATCCCGCTCCTCCTTCAAAGCCGCCGAAGAAAGTTAATGTATTGTTGAGGTATTTAGTTGTCCATGGCGCGTCGAGGCCCTTGATTTGGACGTAATGGGCGTACAAAAGCTCCCAGTTTGGCCGAATGGCACCCCGAGATGCGGAACTGATGGTAGTGTAGCTCACGATGCCATTGGTGTAGGGTTCAAACGGGACGTCGTAGCCAAGATTGTACCGAGCGAAGTATTCTGCACTGTAGACCAAATGTTAGAGATGACTTCGGCCGTACGTAGAATATGTGAAAAAATGCGAAAGAGCCGGAGAATATAGCCATGCAACTTACCCGAGAAGAATACGACTGTTATTGTAGGCAAAAAGATCCTCGCCTTGGTTCCATGCCTGCTGGCCGATGGCCCCGAGCAGCTGGAAATTGAGAGAGGAATGTCCCTGGTCACGGCCCGACTCCTGGCCCTGGCCTAGGGGTTTACCAGTGCCCGGCTCCTCCACGATGTTCGTGATGGTGTTGCCGATCGCGCCGTTGCCAACTCCATTCTTGAAGTAGTCCACCGCGAAGTCCCAGGCGGTTCGGTTGTCGGCGAGAACACCAATGGCCATGGCGGAAGCGACATTGCAGAGCTCCCAGTTGGCGAAGAAGTGCTTGACGTTGTGCTCCGACCCCAGGACGTGATTGAGGAAGTCCACGTTCATCGGCAGGAAGATGGTTGTCATCATAGAGGTGACGGCAGACAAACCGTTGTCGGCAAATGGTGCATAGTCCCTCAACAATTCGGCAGCATTAGCAAGCTCGTAGCCCTGTAGCCCGGCGGTTAGGTAGTCGTCGTCTCCGCCGCCGGTGAGGGCTTGCAGCTTACTCGCCCAGGCCATAAGGATGTCGGACGCGGCTGCGGCATACGAGTCGTTCCCAGATATCTTCCAGCGCAGGGCAAGGTTGAATGCAGCAGCCGCATCGTGCCACAGGAGCTCCCCATTTTCAGCACGAGCAATACTGCTCACGGCGTTGTTCGTGTAAGAGGCACTGGAAAATTCGAGGCTAATCAGCTTGTTCCAGGAACCAATCCATGGTTCTTTCTCAGCGGCAATCTTGGTCTTCGCTCGGGCGATATCTTGATCAGTTACAAGGAGGCCAGGATGACTGAAGGCAAAAACGGTAGGCAACACCCAAAGGAATGATAAAGTGTTGAAGGCCCTCATATTAGAAGTAAAACGATGCAAATACAAAAACGAGTGAATGTTTATGGGACCAAAGAGAAAGGAATGTAGAATGAAGGTAGTATGAGACAAGCAAAGTAAAGAATGAGCGCCGATTGAAGGCAATTTCTGATGCCTATAAAAACCAAATCTCACAACGCGACAAGAAAATTGAGGAAAAAAACAGGGATTCATATCTACACTCGGGGGAACTAACTGTAGATGCTGACTTATGATACTAAGTGTACATACGGAGGCCCACCCCAAAAGTTTTTGCCCAAAATGCTCGGCGCTAAGGAGCGCCATAACATAAATACCTAAGATACATATGCCCTCAGGCTCTGGTCACTAAGCTATAGTGGCTTTAGTGGTCATTAGGCTCTTCTAGTATTTGAGTTTAGTAGATAAGTCGCACTAAAGTGATAGCGCTCTTAGGCGCTGAGAGACTTTGTTAATGTATTTAGCTGTATCTCTGTTAAGGTCATCCGTTTTTAGCGTCTTGGCAGGCAAAACCTTTTGGGGTGGGCCTCCGTACTGCAGGTATTAGATGAGACTCTTACCATGTCTATACCGTGTACGGATTAGAGGCCGCTGACAGCTGCATGTCGATAACCAATGAAATGACCCTGCTACTATAGACGTGTTGCTAGTGTCCATCCCGATGGGTTGGATTGGTGGCGCTACGTAGGGATGGAATTGCAAGGAAAACTAGCGTCTGTAGGTCGGTATCATGCCGTTTGAGGTAGGCACTAATCAGATTGACAGGGGCAGAGGGGAGGCACAGATGAGCGTTTCCGGGATGGTGATTGGTATAAGCTATTAACACTAGATCTCAATATACACATACACGTATGAGTGGGCAATTGATAGATTGTTCAGTTTACATATAGACTCTGAATCGCTTTCTATCGTTGCAGCCATGTACATGGTCTTCTATGGTCAGCCATCAGACTTCAAATGGTTACCGTAAAACCGCCCCAATGGAGTGCAGTTCTGCTGCCAACTAGAGTCTGTACTAAGTGGAGATTGATCCCGTTCATTTCCAAGACCCAGAGAGACGCATAGTATCAAGATCAGCCCCGCCCCTCGAACGTTGAAAGAAATTGGGGGGTGCAAAGGACAGACCGGGGCAGAAAGTGAAGACCTGCCTGTCGTGCAGTGCGTGGTTTGACAACCCTTACTAACACCTCAAGACTGCGGAGTGCATAAGGGTGTTTCAAATATCCACGCCCGGAAGTGCGGCATCTAGACCATGGGCGCTTGCTTCAGGTTGGCTAGCCGCGGCCGCCATGTTTGGATAGAGCAGCAGGTCGTCGTCGTCGTCATAAAGGGGCCAGGGGCGTTCGACGACACATGGGAGATTTGGGTCCACAAGATAAAGTTCCGTATTCTACAATACGCCACCTTTCGGCCCGCCCTGATACGAATACCTACCGGTATGCATAGCCCAGACTCCACAGTCTTGCCAGATGTGGAAGTGGAGGCGGCGGACTGGACTTCGACAGCGAAGGTTTTTGTCTCGTCCATGTACATAGGGTTGCCTGTGACGGGTTTTGGTCTAAGCTCGAATCTGAACCTGAATCAAATTTCCGGCTGCTTGGTAACAGTCTCGGCTCCCCCACTGTAATGTCCACCTGCTCAGCTTCCTCAGAAGATCCTCATCATCCTTATCCCACCGACAACGTCGAGTTTTCATACCTCCACTCGCCTCGACATAATCGTCATTGCCCAATGTCGGTCTTTTCTAGAGCTACCCGTAGCTGCATTACGCTTGTAAGATTGCTATCTGCATGGCTCGAGGCTGAAAGGAACATCTTACCTATTCACGACGCTGTCACGCCCGGCTTGACAACGCCCAACACCAAGGTCAGATGCTCGTTTGCAAACGGCTGGATCTTGATACATGGAGTTTGCTATGTCATATCTGAATCCAGCACCTGATCTTGGTGATCTTGGACAAAAGCTGTCAATCTGCCCAGAACTGCGAGTTCGAACTTCAACTTTATGCTGTACACAAAGCATTTGAGGACAATTTGGAGGATTCGAAAGCCTGCATATTGGACGCCCATCAGAACAAAGTCCATGAGTACGAGAACCACATTCATGGTGATGAGTTCTGCCATCAATCGCCGTTTCCTTCTTTCCGCCGTATATGCCAGGAGCTTGGCCGTTGCCCAGATGTAGAGCCCCGATATGATGAATTCCTGCACGCAGAATACAGTAATCTGTATATTCTCCATGACGCCATATCCGCGTGTGAACGGCTCCGGAATGGGATCGACATTGTTGCCGAGCGATAACACCGTCGTGGGAATAAGAAGGACGATGGCATCGACCATGATCATTGCCAGAACACCGCGAAGGATAAGCCGGCTCTGGAGGACAAGATGAAGACGTGACCACAGGACGAGCGATTGTCCAACGATGAAGGCCCACCATCCGACAATGGTCACAGCACCTTGAACGAACTTATTCGGGGTTATGTTGAAGAAGTAGGTCGAGAAGCCGGTAGTGGTGACGATCAGGCCAAGGCTCGCGACCAAAAGACTCCAGAAATACCATCCGGCGTATCTCTTGAAGGTGGCGAAGATTAGAACAATAATTTCCACGGCATTGTACAGGGTGACTCCTATACAGCCAGCAAAAAAGTACGCCACGGACGGGCTGCTCTCGCTGGCTTGGCCGAAAGTCAACATGATTTGATGCCGAGGCAGGCTGCACAATTGCCAAAGTGGCGATGGATGACGCCCTAGGATCGCTGCAAAAGTAGGCTTGAACCAGCCTTATCTAAATACCAATGTGAAATCTCAGCATGAGAGATGCGGGCGCCGGGGCCCAGAAGCTGGTCACATAAAGACTTGAACAGGGTAGGTGTGCCTTGAAGAGCGATTGGCTGTACAGTCTGGAGAGCGAAAGCAATTTCCGGAGAGTCGGAAACACAAGGCTGTCTCCCCGTGTGATGAAGTGGACCGAGTCATACAAGCAGGAACCCGCCACTTTCTGTCCCAGCCCTGCTTCTCGACACTTTTATGCGACATGGCCTTGATTGCCATCACTCCAGGCTATGTCTTCCGCTGGTAGGCTTGGAAAGTCGAAGTAATTGTCAAAGGCAGCTGCTCTCAGCGGCTTGTCGGGAGGTTGGCGAAAATGGTACGATGTCTTCCAAGCCATCCTTCCGTGTTTCTGAAGCTTCTGAAGCCAGGAGAACCCCTAAAAGGCAGATGACGCGGTCTTTGGCGCAAACTGACCAACCGGACAAGGGTCGTGTGACACAGGATAAGGTTACAACCGCTGAAAGGACCTAAATGAAATACGCTAATGGGAACGCCGCGGCACCATCAACGAAAGAGTAGCGCTGCGCTCAATGGACTCCTAGTAGTACAAGCTAATTGCTTCTCGCTGTACGCTAAATCCCACAAGAGAGTTCCGGCCGGGCCCCACACCCTCCAACCTCTTTTCGCGCCAGGCTTGGTGACAGCACTAATTGAACCTAGACGTCCCGACAGTGGGTTTAGGGATCGCCCATCATTCCAGTAGTGACCAGAATCAGGAACACGGCACGCTACGATTGGTGCAACAAAACACAGCAGCACAGACACTTCGTTGATCCCCTGTCGCCAATTTTTCTGGGGAAGGTGTAGTATCCCTTTTGTCAAAGTGAGTAGGAAGATGCTATGTATGTGAGGGTTATTGAGAGTCAATTTTTTTTTTGGCCTTACTGCTCAAGTCAAGAGGACGAAGGTCCCAGTTATATACACAACAATGGTGCCCAAGTGGGTCGGGACGCCTCCTCGGCTGGGGCGGAATTCGTTTGACACCTTTAACACACGATAAGGTCTGTGGAGATGCAGAGAAGCTCTCATACCAAGCAATTCGACACCTCGAACCGAGTGGAGCATTGCACCTCATGGGACTACACCTTAGACCATGCTCCGTCAAGCCTACCTAGGCGTCCACCACCGTCCGAGGGGCTCGCCGGCGCGGCGCGGTCCCCGCCGAAGCCCGGTTCCGGGGTGGGGCTACCGGCGGCTGTGGCCTTCTGGTTGCGCAGCTGGATGCCGTTGGCTCGGGCGTTGAAGTGAAAGGGCGAATGGCTCTGGGTCGAGACCCTCCCCTCTGTATGGTTCGTCAGTGCACGAAAATTCATTCTGGACGGGTTTGGTGACGGGCTGTGCTGGGAGGCTAGGCGCCGGTGGAAATGGATCTCGCTATAGAGCTATATTTAGTAATTGAGCCTGCTCTACACGCCACATTTGGGCCTAAACCGAGGGGATCTATCAATCAATGGGGAGAGATGATCAACACAGGTCCATATAGGGCCGCTCACGTTCGGCTTGGCACGTACCAAGGGGCTGGACGAGATAGCAGCGGGGCAGATGCTCCACTTTACGGTTCTGGGATCGGGTGGGCAGAGGGATGTTGACACGATCAGTCCGTAAGCCTAGGACATGACTCGACTGGGCTTACAGAGGAGATAGGGCATTAATCTCACGCAGATACGAAGCCTCGAGGCCTCCTAGTCCCGGACAATTCGACGATCTTGGGCTAGGGCAGCTTACGAAACCCCTGCGTGACGCAGCGCTAGGAGAGCGCCACCAATACTCCACAAGATGAAGATGTTCAATTCCGGACAGATGGCCCGCATTATTGCCTCGATTTCCAACCGGCCTTACTGGATATGTATTAGGAACCACGATATGACTCGAGGGGAGAAGCATAAGACATGCCATCCGCAAGCCCCAGATTTGAGTTATCAACGCTTTGCTACATCTATCGAAGTTACAACGCAGCGCATAGAGCTAGCCCTGACTTCGCCTGAAACGGTGTGCTAGGCAAACTCTATTACCTCTTCAATGATGTAGATGTTTACGCGGGCATTGATATGCATGTGAAGAACTCCAGAAGACATCTTCCTCAGTTTCATGGCTGCCCTAAACGCTCTTGTACCTGATGTACATGAAGCCTGCGTAAGCCTCACCACAAAGTTGAGTCGACGTTGGCTCCTTTGCGGGGTTTGATGCACGTGAAGGGCATTTCGGCGCCACAGTTAACAATCATAGGTATGTCAATCCAACCTAGTCTTTCGCCTCCTGCCGCTGGTGGAAATGAAGTGTAGTTGAACGAGTCTTTCTCTGCAAAATAAGATGGCGATCAATTGAACCAGAATCCCCTTGGGGTTGCATCTAAAACGCGGTAAAACATTTCCAATCTCTATACTGATTATGTATTTCCGTCATCCAAGGACTCGTGAAACTAGGTTAGTTCGAAGCTTTCGTGAAAGACTAGAGGCAAAGTGACTGAGCTATAGTCTCCGGAATGGGGTCGTCTGGTTCCTCGAGTAGAGCTTGCATAGGGTGCTTCCGGGGGCTATCCGTCCTCTATTTGATCCATCGACCCTGTTTTGATGATTGCAACCAAGCCGGCCGTAGGCAATGTCAACCGTGTCATCAACATCCTTTGTCCTATTCAAGATCCCGCTCTCGAATCACCATTTCCGTTTTGGTCGGAGTGGACAGCTTCCTCCACAGTCCAGACACTTCAAGCATCCCGGCTTCTGCCAGACCTTCCTGCAACGGCACACCCAGAGGTCTTGGCCTGTCTTTGTCGTCAAGCAGTCAGAGGGTGCATGCAACTCGAACTTGACCCCACACTCGATGCAGAACCGCCGTAGCTGAACAAGTCGGTCCTCGGGGCTCGGGGCGCGGTCCGAAACGACTCGCCCGTGAATGTCGATGTACGCCGACTGCCATTGCAGGGCGTCAAAGTGCTTTGGCACCCGCACGCGGAAGCAGATGTAACACTCGAAGTTGCCCGGCTGGTGGTCTTGGCCCTTCTCGCTGGGGCGGTGCTGTGGGAAGTCCTTGGCTGCCCTCATGACGAACTGGACCTTGTCCAGGGGGTCGGCCATTCTCTGAGGGTTAATCGATCGGTGGAAATGTCGGTTCAAGGTGGAGAGGAAGATGAGAGACTGGTAGTCTAGGTTGGAGAAGATGAGCCGTTGGAGCTCTCTGGGCAGCCGCTCTATCAGGGACGGCATGGAGGGCTGGCATTGTCTTGAGAAAGAGAGGGTGACGGAAGGTCGAACTGGTGAGTAGCTCGGGTTGGTGGCATATATGGGGGGAAGCTTTAAGTCTGGGCCAGGTGGTTGGCGAGGAAGGATAATCATGGTGGACCACGACAGACGATGGACGATATGTAGGACAGGATCAAGGGGGGCGATCTCGATAATGTAAAGCGAGAATTTGGGTCGCGAGGGCTCGCTATGTCTTGGTGCAAGGTGGCGCTTGTAGACTCTCGGGTCAGTAGGCGGATGTTGCGACCAGGGTGGCTAGATTAGTTAGTAGGTAATAGTTAATAGTTACTAAACTACTAACTAAGTAGTTAATAGTTAGAGCTTTCTATTAACGAAGTAGTTAGTAGTTACTAAGTACTATTAACTAAAGTAGTTAACGTATAATACATATCGTCATCGCTTTTCGATTCATCATGCAGCATAATCTCATTTTCTGGTCGCTCTTGATCTCGACTCCGCTCAATCTCGTGACAAACGATCGCATCAAAAATGCTTCTCTTATCATCCTTCTCTTTTCCAATCTTAGGCTAAGACCCTCTCGATATATCAAATAGTCCCTATACTTCGTGCTCCCAAATCTGCTTAGGTTGATTGAAGAGCTCCGCGCTGAATTTGATGCCTATCTCTGCTTCTCTCACAGACTTGGCCATTCTGAACCTGCGAATGACAAAGCTTATGAACCGTTTCTCGAGGTATCTGTACTTTATCGTGCTACTCCGTTCCACTACCAGGGTAAATGGCCTCTGCCAGCAGTCCTTGAGTCGATTGCTAAGCAGCCAGCATAAAATGGTGGGACTAGTGCATTGGACTGTGCTTTCGCAATGATCTAATACGAGGTCCAACGCTTCCACGGTGCAGGACAATCTCTACTCATCCTCATAGGGACTAATTATATCTGGGTCGCCCTCAAGAGTCGCTTGACCTAGCACGTAGTCTGCAATGGGTAGATGACGATGAGGCAGTCGAGTCATCGCCCGCAAAATGTCACGTCGTACACCTCTATAGATCGTAGGCCATTGTGTTCGCTCGATCCATAGGTCTATCGCTGTAAACGAGTCGCTTCCCAGGGCTTGGTCATATACGCGACGATGGTTTGCTGCATCCCGGTGTTTTTGCTCTCTTTCTATGACCTCCCTTAGGTGATTTATAGCTTTGGGGGTTAAGGCTGCAGGTTCCGCTGATAAGTTGACTAGAGATGATCGAGATCTCGTTCGGGCCTTCTTCTGCCCTGTCGTTCTTCGGCCCACCTTGAACCACCTGCTGCCCACTCTGGAAGGGAAGAATCGTTGGCATGCGACGCCTTGAATCCAAGGCAATTCGGAAGCGGGTGCAGCACTGTTTGTTAATGGCCTTCCTTTGCTCCTTGCATTTTTCCAGTCATGCTCCTTCCTACAATGATCCTAGATTTTCTGAAGCTGGTGGATGATGAACCCACACGACCGACGTTTCAGTCCGTCCGATCTTGGGGCTGTAAGGTAAGGAATCGTCTCGCTGGACGGATGAGGATACTGCAGGTCAAGTAGTTCGGCCTGGTTTCGCCTGACGTTGGGGACTTGACGTATCGTCTTGATCGATCTGCGCCGGTCATCAGGCTTCCACTTCCTCTGCAACACAGCAACTCGACGACCCAACCGATGCTGCCCTCCCCGACATCGCTCGGTGATCAGGCCTCAGGTGTTAGCTCCCCCTCCATAATTTCCAGCAGAGCATCAACCGCGCTCCACGCACGAGGCAGGGCGAGGGACGTTGCCGTCATGCTCGTATTTACTCCATCCCGCCATCGCCCATCGAGTCATGGATCGTTCCGTCGGCCAAATTGGGGCCTCGCTTACAGAGCTGGGTTGATCAGCGACCGTCTGAAGCGACCCACGGCGTTCCCTGCTTTCCGCCCCAGACTTCCCCCTCAACGACCCAAGCTCCTACAGCGACGACCCATCCAGCCCAGTTTCATCTCGATTCCGGCCGCACAAGACCAGATCCTGATGCTTGGGGGCCTTGCCAAGTTTCCCGTCTCCGTCTCTGTATGGATGAGTAACAAGCTTTCGGCGGGCCCTTGGCCAGCGCACGTTCGCTCTAGCCCCAGCCGTGTGGGCAACTCACCTCAGACGCTATCGACTTCCCACTTCCCGAAGGCTTCCCTGGACCGGGACTGGGAGCCCCCAAGTTCCCCAGCCCCCTGTCAAACCTTGATCATCCTTCTCTGCCTGCCATCTCGTATCCCCTCGATTGTCCCATGTACCCCAGTCTCCACTCTCCCACACTTTTCCCGCCATCGCCATCCACGGCCCAGGTACGTACCACCAACGCTTGTTCGCTCTATCATATTATTTTCAGGGCTCGAATCTCTGTTTTGATGTACTCGGATGGTCCTACCTGGATGTAATTTCCACCAATCGCCATGATCTTGAGATCGTCTAGTGCCACCCGCGCAGATGTCAGCACGCGGCACGACCTACCAAACGGAGCTGCCAACTCATGCTCTCATCCACACCGACAGGTCGCGAACTGCGGCTTTGCTAAATTTTGTTTCCTTTGCAGCTGTTGGATAAAGAGCGAGACGGAGTGGTTGGCCCATTGCCAAAGTCACATCGACAACCGCATTTCCTACAGGCTTAACGCCAGGGACGGAGACGAACATGGGTGTCATCAGCGACGAATCCTATTGCACCTCAAAACCTTCACATCACCCATATCTAAGGAACGTTTCAGCGTTGACAAAGATGCCTTGGCAGAAACCCCCTTTGCCTAACACGTAACAGAATTTCAAATACGAAATGCTCTCTCTGGAAGGTCAGCATGCCTCACAACGCAGCGTATTCGGGAATTCTATGGCTCCAGAGCAGACTCTTTCTTCATGATATTGTAGGCCGGTATTTAGATTCTAATTGCCTTTGCCTGAAAATAACGCTCCAAATGGTTGTACTTGTCACGCTGGTTTGAAGCGACCATAAGAATTCCGTTCATGAGATATCAGGATAGCCCCATTGCAGCTATGGTAAGTTCGCTATTTTTGCAGCTAACTACGCGGCCTCCGCCACTTAGTTGGTCTCTCGCCGGGGGTGGCACAACCCCCTTTGACCAACGGGTAATGTTTATCATCGTGGCAAATTCCTAGGGGTCATCATTCCGCGGGGGTCCTGAGTCTTGAATCGGCTGTTGGGTTGGCTACCTCTCTTTGCCATCCCTTCCGCCCCCGGCCGCCGCATTTGTACTTTTCTTTTCTTCTGTGCCACCATCCAATCTTCAGCCTTGACTTTACGCGCCAGAATATGGCCATGAATCCAACTCCTCGCACCCAGGACGACGCAGTCCACAGCTATGTTTCGCCTTATCCAGAGCTCCAAGTTGGATTATGGGCGCTTTTCGCCGGCGCGACCGTTTTTCTGACCCTGCGGCTCTGGGTTAAGGTCACCCGACGACACGGACTGTGGTATGATGATTACATTCTCATAGTGTCATGGGTGATGCTCGCTGTCCTTTGGAGATGGATTCCTCGTCCTCCTTTTCTTCCGGCATTCAAACTGTACCTATGTACCTTGGCGCTGACTAGGCAACTAATTAGATAGTACTACTCGCAAACAATATCCTCATCGTCTACCAATTTGCAACCGGTTACGTGCTCAAAGACTCCACGCAAAAGTGGGATGACCGCATGCACATCCTCATCAACATGTCGTCCTGCGGCACACTGATAGGGCAAGCATGGACCAAGACAGCGTTCGGCGTGACGCTGTTGAGAATGAGCAACCGCTGGCAACGATGGATCCTGTGGTTCTGCATCGTCACCATGAATGTGTATATAGTCCTGAAGGTCATCTTCCAGTGGGCAAAAGTCTGCGACAAGTCTAGTTACCAGAACTGGTACAGGCTTGACTTTTGTATTGGTTGGGACTTCCGTGGCGATATCCAGGAGGGTGGAAACGGTGAGTATTGCAGGGCACACGACGTACATACTAGGACGGTTTACTTATTGACGTTACCACCAGTTTACAACATCGCCATGGATTTCGTGTTTGCGACTTTCCCATGCTTGATCACCCGGCCATTGGAAATGCGAAGAGTCGAAAAGATCGGTCTTTGCCTCACAATGAGTCTCGGCATAATGTGAGCTTAGACTCCGCAGGCACCGCTGGAGAACTACTAGCTGACGGTCTGGTTAACAGAGTTGCCATTGCCTCGGCTATACGCGTCGCCTGGAAGGATAAAGGGAATGACCACGATGAGTACTACATATGTAATCCACGCAATGATCTCAACTGCCGCCATTCCGCCCACCACTGACAACCATTCCCCAACAGGGCGTAACGCTACCGGTATGTCGCATATCTGGTGAGTCGTCCCCGGAGATCAAATTCTCCTGTCCTTACACGTGCAATCGCTAATGTCAGGGGCCTGTAGGTACTCATCTGAAATCGCCGGGACAATCATCGTCCAATGTATCCCCATCCTGCGACCGATCTTGCGAGACATTCACACATCTTTGACTTCGAGGAAGTTGAGTTCTACGGCGGACGCGCGAAGCACAGTCTGGATAAGCATGCTTAGGAGGAAGCAGGCATCGACTGGTGTGAACATCAACGACCTCACCACCAAGACCACCGATAGGATGGAGTTGAGAGAGATCCCAGAAGAGCCAGCCTAGTCTTGGAAGGAGGGTCGTGCGTCATCATCGCCGTCAGACGACGCCAAGTATGCCACTCAGGCCTTGCCTCGTTCCGACTCATGGGCGCTGTCGTGGAGTGAGAGTCGGTCAAGGAAGAGCTTAGACGTTGAACAAGACAGGGGATCTCACTCTGGCATCGGGTTTGACGTTGAATAGGATGGAGAACAAGGGTTATCACTACCGCCTCGCAGACTAGCACATTAGTGGCTAGGAACATCATGAGGATAGCGATGTAGCTAAATCTCTTCGCAGTAGAGCTGAATCGATAGGAGGCCTAACTCTGGTCTTTCTGCTCGTCGCGCTATGTCATGTATATAGAACCGACCCTAGGGGTCCCTATAGTACATTCTCTGCCTTGAGCATTGTCCCCGTTGCCTCATTGAGACGTGAACTCTCACACTGGAATACGGTTGTGCTCCAGGGCCACCCTAAACCCCGAGTTTCCTGGCTCGCATTACTACGCGGAGATATCGGCATTCGTGATAAGCTAGATCCTGCTCCCCGCAAATCGATATTGGCTCACTTGAAATCGCGGGATAAGATGACATCCTCGAGCCCGATCCCTAGACAGGGCAGAATAGAACCAGGCGCTGCAAGTATTGGAGACAAGACCGTGTGGTGGAAGAGGGGAACCCAGGCTGGAGAGGCCATCTAGGATCAAGACTGCTGAGGGGAAGTTGCCCAAGCGAGAGTGTCTGGGATTGCCTCTAGGCCGCCTGGCGACGCATTACTCGTGCTGCTACACCAATCCCAAGCGTGGTGTGATGGATGCTAAACTTTCCAACCACAAAGCTGAAGGCAGCGCTGACCCGGCAATTGGGGGCAACCGGCGAAACGTGATTGGCCCGGGGAATGGCCCCAGGCGGCCCAGACCCTCGTCCTCCCCCGGAAGCCCCAAGCGCCTCCCCCAGAACCACTAAACAACGCTTCCCGGGCTGGAGCTTTATGGGGGTGTCACGCCAGCTGCGGGGTTAACAAACCTTCCCAAACTGACTTGAAGAGGCAATTCCCCCATCTGGCCGCTTTCCATTTCTTCCCTCCCCCGACACCACCACCATCCTCCTCGCCTCCAGTTCAGACTCTGGGGCCAGCCGTTCGTCTCCAGTCTCCAGTCTCCAGCCTCAGCGCGCCCCGGTCCTCCCTGGTACAGACCGTACAGTGCTATCTGTACTACATGGCATGACGGCTGCCTGAAGCCCCTGCCTTGCCTTGCACCATGCAGGCGACGACGACCTCGACGCTGAAGCCGCTGAATCCCTGTAAAGTAGGCCCACTGCCCTAATCTTGCCCGTTCCGGGTCGATGGAATGCCATTCTAATGATTTCTCTTTGCCGCCGTAGGTTTGCAAGCAGAGGTGAGTTCTAGTTCCAGCTCGCTGATCAAGGCAATCTTGCCAGTTGACCTTGTGTTCCTCGAAGACGTTCTGGTCTGACTTTGATGGTCTTTGCGTCCTCGTTCTAGGCACTTGAAATGTAAGGGCTCTTGACTAATTCCAATCAGAGTCGACTTGGCAGCTATTACCAAGCTACTCTCGTCTCGTTCGCGCTGGGCGCTGGCTTACTGACTGGGGAGTGAGACAGGCGATACCGACCGTCCCGCATGCACAAACTGTCGCAAGAGCGACTCAGAATGTGTCCGCGGCTACAGCGTACGGTTCCGCCATGGGCTGAATCCAAGGTTGGTCATTGCCCCAGATGTTCATGTCATTGGGTGTCTACAGTTGTCTTAATCATTCTGCAGTATTCGGTCTGGAAGGGCATTAGAGGCAACCAAACGCGACTACCAGTTCGCACATGATCAGCCCTGGGTCAAGATCAACCGGGCCTTGAGCTTCGTTGATGAGACACCGGACGTCATCAACATCCACGACGCCGGCACCGGAACTAGCAACTTTGACGCTGTCGATAACCTTAGCTTGCCCCTTAACATTGAGACAGAGAGCCAGAACTCGTCTCCACGACAGCCCTCCCCGCCCCTTCTCCATGAAAAGCCATCTTCCGAGCCCGGCAGAGCAGACCTAGAAGCATCTTCGCCCCTGGTTGGGGACAGTGGGCACCCCCACAAGAAACGCGCCCTCAGTCACTCTGCCGTTGCATCTTGGAGAGCAACCCTTCGATCAGATCCCAGCCAGGGTCGCACTCCAAGCCGGGGCTCCCAGAGTATTCCGGAAGGAGGTGATGCCTTCAATAGCTACACAGACTCACCACTTCCTGGCCGCAACATCCCTTTTACTCTTTCGAGCGAACCTACTATCTCCGGGCTGGACAGTCCGCAGCCAGCAAAACACTCCCCCCTCGGAGATTGTGTCGCTGATGCCATATCTGGCATCTACCTCCAATCTCCAAGATGGCCGCTGGAAGATCCGATGGAGGCCATGCTGTTTCAAACTTTCGTCGACAACTTGGCTCCTCTTTTTGACCTATGCGACAGCGATCGACACTTCGCCACAGTTGTCCCACGCCGAGCAGTCATGTGTCCACCACTCATGAACGCCGTTCTTGCTGCTTCGGCTAAGCGCATGAGTAGGATCAGTGACTTTGATGGTTTGGTGGGAGACCGATATCACCAACACTGTCTCGACGCCCTCATCCCCGCACTCTCCAGTTCCGCCGCCGTCATGGACGAGAACCTCCTGACCGCCATTGTTATCCTCCGCTACATGGAGGAGCTCGATGTTCCGATCATGTCCTCTGCCACGGCGTCTGAGTCGCATCTCATGGGCACACGAGTCTTTATTGCGGCACAGGACAAGTTGAGCGACTTCGCCAGTCTCCGCAGGGCTGCGTTCTGGGTTGCTCTTCGACAGGAGATCCATATGGCCTTCATCCAAGCTCGCCCTGTTCACCCCAGCTTCGATCTGGAGAGCATTTCTCGGCTCGTAGTACCAGATGAGAATGGCTGCAGTTTCGCAAACCTCACCATTCTCCACTGTGCTGCTTGCCTACGTTACTGCTACGGCGCGGAGGAGCACAGCACCAACACCTGGGAAAAATTGCGAGAGTCTCAAGACCGTTGGTGGGTTGAAAGACCGTGGTTCTTTCATCCTATGTACATCAACGAGCAGAGCAATGGTATATTCCCGGAGGTCACGTATCTCAACGATGCCGTTGTTACTGGGGTTCTGCACTACTACCTTGTCCAGGTTCTTCTTGCAGCCCATAATCCCAAAGCTCCGAGGCTGGGCCCAGGCCAGGCAATAGCATTCAGAGCTACAAATGAGGAAATCAAGAAGAACGTTCGCATGGTCTGTGGAGTTGCTGAGGTAAAAAGCCCCTTGTCCTGCCACGGAAGCCACCCGCTCTGACATATCTACTATCGCAGTCAAACCCTCGTACTATAACATCTTATGCGTATGGCCTAAATCCTGTCCGCGATTTTTTGACCTCTTATTGACTCTACCGCTGCAGATACGTATGTCTCGCAATAACCATGGCTGGCGATCGTTTCACGGACCCGCAAGAACAAGAGGCGCTCTACAACATCCTTGTAAAAATTGATACACAATATGCCTGGCCGACTGGCTCCACGTAAGTTGAAACTGAACTCATCAGATGCAACATAGGGTCGTGCGGCTAATTATTTCAGTCAGGAGTATTTGAAGGGAGCTTGGGGGTGGTCGGAATCGCCACCCAATCCATCGATGTCCATCTCACGCATGTTAAACGGCAGCACGCAAGCGGTTCAATAGTATAAGTTTCATAACAAACGAACGTTGACGTTAAAACGAGTATGAGGGAGTTCCCATTGGTGTTGTGAATTGCAGAAAGGCGTAATGGAATCCTTTTCAGGGGGGGCTGACTCCTCTATGCTGTGCTCCTCTGTTCTCAAGCCCTCGAGATCTTGTCCTCTTGCAACCTCAAAGACTGCGAGAAGCCTGTCAAAAAGAATCGTTGATAAAAATCTCCCTGGCTCAGCCACATCCTGTCAGCCTTGACGCGGGGGTCACTTCATGGAGATTTGGATCTCGCGGTTTGCGCGGTTGCACTGGGGAGCATCTCGTAAGACCATCCTTGTATACAGCACTTCACTTCTCGCTCTTGTCGTCTACCGGCGCTCCTCAACCAGCGTGCATCATCAGGATTACCCCGCACCTTGTTTCACGGACCACCTACCGAATCCACCAACGAGCGCCCGATGCCTTGGTCATGGATGTCCCCTGCTGCACAGCTTGTTTCCCTCGCTGCTGTCACCATTTTCGTCCATCTATGGCTCAGAGGCCGAGTCGCTTCCGCGAAGAGGGCATGACGACGTCAGGCTGCGTGGGTCTCTGAAGGACCATCGTCAGACGAGGGACGTGTGGGTGCAAATCGGTCCGCACGCGAGACGAGCCGCATGCTGAGCTTTCCGAGGCTCTTCAAAATCGCCCGCCGTTCGAAATTCTATACCCTGGTCCGAACGATGAAGCCAGTGGATCGGTCGAAGTGGAGTAGGTGTTACATGTGAACAACTGGAGTTACATCCTCCCAAGGCCGCGTGTCGGAGAGACAAAGGGGTGAACAGAGGGATGATTGCGCGACCTACGCAGTCAAAAGCGAGATGGGATTGGGGCGACGCTATCGGCCGGTCACGAGGCGACAGTGGCTGTTTTCGGCTCCTGAAGACAAGCCCATAAAGAAAGATCCAATGGCTATTTTTGGACTCCCCTCGCAGTGGTTGTGTGTTGGCCAAGGCCGCAGTGTCCATAGAAACAGAACGCTTGATTGGCTGGGATACGCGATCCTGGTGTGACTGATGGTGGAGCACATCCTCCCCTGCTCTGCTTCGGGTGACAAACAAGGGGGGCCGCAGTATTAAATCCGACCGCCCCTCCATCCTTGAGGGACAAAACCCAGGGCAAATCTCTCCTCCAACCTGAACACCCACTTAGCGACGAAGGACCTCAGCGCGCACCTGAAGCTGTTTCATGCTTGGCGAAATGGCCACACCCGGTGCAGACCCTGTCATACACGTTGATGTACAACCTCTTCTCCACGACTCTGTACGATACGAACATGAGCTAACCCTCAATCGAGGTTGACGACGATCGAGACTCGGCAGTTGGAGATGTATGTATGGATGGCATCTTGCCTACCCTGACGTGCTGTGAAATAACACAATCGCTGATACAAACCACGACATAGGACAATACGTCATCAACTGCTAGCGTGACCAACTCCATTCTCAATTATCGATTCGAAAACGGGAGAACATACCACGCATACAAGGACGGAAGTAGGTTGCATGCGTTTGTCCCTTATGAGATTTCTGGAACTCACAGGCTTTCTTACCTGCTGTAGAATACTATATGCCCAATGACGAAACAGAGAACAACAGACTAGGTAATATAGAACGCTCCTCCACTGTCCAAGATTCTTACACTTGATCTTTTCAGACTTGCAGCACAATCTGTTCCTCCTGACTTTTGACAACAAGCTTAGTCTCTCCCCGCCGAACCTTCCCGAATTCAAGACCGGTCGGGTTCTCGACCTGGGTACCGGTACAGGCATTTGGGCTATCAACTTTGCTGACGAACATCCCGAGACTGAGGTGAGAGGAAGTATCTCAGAGCAAAGAGCGACCAAGGCTAACAATCTGCGTAGGTGATAGGGGTCGGTCTGTCTCCTACCCAACCGGAATTGTATGAGATGAGTTCCCACATGAAAGACGGATGACGACTCAAACTCGAGCAGCGTGCCCCCGAATCTAAAGTTCGAGATCGACGACATCGACGAGGACTGGACTTATTCTCGGCCTTTTGATTATATTCACAGCAGAATGATGAACGTCTCAGTCAAGAACTGGCCAGAGTATTTACGTAAGATTTTTGAGTGAGTTGTTTTACGGTTTGGCCAATAAGTTGGCAACCCCTGATTTGACTAGAAATCTTACGCCGGGTGGCTACGCTGAGCTCCAGGACGTCGATGTATTTATGCAATCAGACGACAACACTCTTATCAAAGGTCATGCTCTTCGGAAATGGGGTATTCTTCTAGCCAAAGCGGCCCAAGAGCACGGAACTCCTTTCATAGAGACCGATCGACTCAAACACCTTATGGCCGAGCTTGGATTCGTTGATGTCAAGGAGACGCCATTCAAATGGCCGACAAATCGCTGGCCAAAGGAGAAAAGATTTAAGGAGCTTGGAGAGTGGAGCAACGTGAACACAGACGACCTTCTTGAGGGGGTTTCAATGGCTTTGTTTACAAGGTGCCTTGACTGGACTCCTGAGGAGGTTAGCGTTTTCCTGGTTGACGTCAGGAAGGATTTGAACAATCCAAAAATCCATGCCTACTGGTCAATGTATTCTCCGCCACCCCATTTTTGTTCTCAATGTGCTGATACTCTGTTAGCCGTTCAGTTTACGGGAGGAAGCCTGAAGCTTAGGAATTGTGGATGGATAGATTTCTCTGGCGATATACACGCCTGCAGCTCGTATATGCAGCCGCTTTATAGCAAGGTCAACAATTGAGAAAGTAATGCAGATAGTTTGCCTTGAAACGCTTTGAATCTACGTACGAGAAATCTCGCATGAGAAATCTCTTAACCTATTGATACGTGAAGAACCAGTCTTGGGCCTGGTGCTTAAGACTGGCATTATATGTAACATCACGTGAGAAAGGAGACCTTATGCTCCCGTCCTCAATTGTAGTCTTAGCTCGTCATCCATCTTTCTACATCTACATGACAACCACACTTTATGTGACCTCCGCGTTATATCCGCATCAATGTGGTTGCCGAAGAGAACATCCACGGAAGTACGCAGTCCACACGCCTTCTCTTTCAATCTCCAGGCACAACGAGTATGCTCTGGTATTTTGGCAGGTGAGTAGGCATCTTTAATGGTGCCTACCTGTAACGGTCTCAAGGTAGTGTATTGCAACTAGCTAGGCCACTCTACAGAGTATACCAAACTTAAGGAAAGAAGAAGAAGAGAAAGAGAGTAGAGGAGGTCCATCCATAAATATACTCGTCATGGTGGCTTAAAGGTAAAAAGTGGGCCACGAAAGGCCGAGGGTTCCCGAGGCCACCTACGGGCACAGCCCGTTACAATCCCACAGGATTACAATTTACAACTGTAATCCAACGGATAGAATTACGATTCCTAAACGCAATCCAGTAATCGGATTACGATCCTAAACTGTAATCCAAGGATCACCCCTTAGTATATAGGCATATTTATTTAGCACTTTTATAGAGAGATAGCCTTACCAGCTATTAACACACTTGGTTATATTGAATCTACTATTCTACTATCCTGATCCACTCGATCATACACCCCACGCCCGGACCTACCCTATACCCCTAGGTTAGACCCGACCGTCACAGGTGGAGCTTATCCCGGATAGAGCCCGTTGTCACGGCCTGGTCCTACACCCGTCCAGCGCAGAGACGATGCGGCATTGAAACGAACCGGTGGTCAACATGGATGATGGATGGAGAACCCTTGCTTGATTGCTTTGCGATGCGGTGGCAGAATATCGGATTGGTGAAGAGTGCAATTTAGAGTAGAGCAGGCTATGGCAAGTTTGTGCTGCGCCTGATGTTTCCGATCCATCCGCCTTCCATCCGGATCAGCGAGGCTCCGGGAGGCGCTGCCGTGGCCGTTAGCGCTCGCAAGGCATGACGGGCCGTTATTTTTAGGGCTGGTCAGAGGCGCTGCGGCCACTCACCAGCCTGTGCAGATGCTCCGCCACACCCGACAGTTGGGGCAACGAACCCACACTTAGCCCTGTCCCTCCAGTAATTCTTAGTGCTGAGTGCCCCTGGAAGTCCATCGCGCCAATGAGAGACCGCCACCCCGCCAGCCGTTATTGCGGCGGCGGAAGTCTGACGTGCCGAGCGCAAGCCATGTGCCAACAGAGTATCTTTGGCATCACACAGCATCGAGCGTGAGATTCCTACTCACCGACCCTGGCGTCAGCAACTAGTTTCCGTTCCTCTGTCTTGTTTGGGGGCGGGACGATCATGCATAAGAAGATCGTTTCGTCCCGCCATTGAAACGAAACATCTTCATTCAGCATCACATCACAACAACACACTCACACTTACACCCACCTCATCCATCTCCATTTCTACTCCACACCATCTTCTACACAACAACACAACAACAACCAACAACCTTCAAAATGCAGTTCTCCGCCGCCGCTATTTCCGCCATCTTGGCTTTCACCTCATTCGCCTCAGCTGCCCCCTCCAGACGAGGCGGTTACCCTCAAGAGCTCAGCTTGACTGCTCAGCTCCAGCTTGCCGACACGTAAGTACCAGCTTCATCCTCTCGATTCATTCACAGACGGCGCCTAACACACACTTTCCAGTGCTGTCGACCGCTTTGCCCTCCTCAAGGATGACGAGTTCGTCTTCGACTTCAACCAGGAGCAGCCCAACCCTGGCAAGGGTGGCCAGCTGGTTGCCGCCAACCGCAAGACCTTCCCTGCTCTTGTCGGTACTGGCGCCGGTATGGCCTTCGGCCGCGTCGATGGTAAGATATTCCTTCCCCTTACTGCCTGCAGCTAGACATCATCAAGACTAACACCTTTTCTTCCACAGCCTGCGGCATGAACACTCTCCACGTTCACCCCCGCTCTGCCGAGCTCCAGATCGTCACCTCCGGCCGCCTCATCACCGAGATGGTCCCCGAGAACGGTGTCAACAACCAGGACGGCAGCCGCCGCGTTATCCGCACCGAGCTTGGTCCCAACATGATGACTCCCTTCTACCAGGGCTCCGTCCACACCCAATTCAACCCCGACTGCCACCCCGCCACCTTTGTCGCCGCCTTTGCCTCTGAGGACTTCGGCGCCGGCCAGGTCCAGGACGAGACCTTCGCTCTCAGCGACGACGTTATCGCCGCCACCTTCGGTCAGAGCATCGCCGGCGAGGACATCGATCTTGTCCGCCAGGCTATCCCCAAGAGCATCGCTCTGGGCGTCGACGAGTGCCTCAAGAAGTGTGGCATCACCAAGCGCGCCATCTAAGATAGTCGAGTGATCTTTCTTTCTATTTTCTGTTCACTATAGATCTGCATCAACACGGCGCTGGGGTTTGCATACAGCATAGCGTGCATAGCATCGGAAAATCAGCTGGTCTTCAGCGTACATAGTTTTGATTTTGGTTGTTTTACTTGTTTTGGTATTTTAGCATTAGAAACTCCATTGCATATTGCATGGCACATCGCATATAGATATTTATAGACTCGGCTCTCGCCTTCAACTTAACACTGCCTTCATGCATGTCACTCATAATTCATGCCCCCACTGTGAAAGCCAACACCCTGGGAAAAGTCTGCCAGACTAATGCAGCACCGAATCCTTCCTTGGTCAGATGCGCTTACCGTCTCGCCCAAGTAGCACCCTACCCCCTTGTGGTGGTATAACTGGCTGTTACTAACAATAGTCACGAAATGATCTTTCAGGATGAACGTGACTTAAATTAATCTACTACGTCGACCTAGACACATGTTGAATAACACTCTCGTAAAGCTGGTCCGTACTAGAATTGTCACTAGCATCCATAGCACAACTTTCCACATCTATCTTCGTTGTGACCCTGATTTCGTTATGGTCTTGATCTCTGGGTGCCGATGTCTCTGTTGAGATGACAGTGCTGGGTTTCACGTCTTCCAAGTGGATAGCTGCAGGCATCGTTGAAGCGCGCGACTTTTTGTTGGCTGTTCGCGTCCGGCTGCTAGAGAGCTCCACAAACCCCCCGGTATTAGGGTTTGTGGCAGATCCAGAATTGTTGGTTCCGCGATGCTGTACAAAGTCAATGAGCTCGCCCAAAACTGCGAATTCCAGCTTGAGCTTGATGGTGTAGGTGACCACTTTGATTCCTTGCTCCCAGACAAAGTAATTCTTGTACTCAATCGCAAGGAGCCCTGTGTCCATTATTACAATCAAGACATTGATGGCACAAAGGTGCCACATGAAGCGACGTTTGCTGCCAAAAGCTGTCTTGAGGATATCCACTGTCTTCCATATGTATAGGCCGGAGAGTATAAATTCCTGGATGCAGAAACAGGTCATTTGAACTTTCTCGAGGATATTGAAGACGTGATTGAATCCCCCCTTTGTTTGGGCTGGACTGTAACTGGATCCGAATAAGAGAACGGTCATCGAGATATGCCAAACAACACCATTGACAACAATCATGCCAAGGACACCCCGAAGGATTCTTGGGCTGTTTATGACCAGGTGTAGTCGCGAATATAGGACGACGGATTGACCAGAGACTAGTAGAATCCAACCAATGGAGTCGATTATCATGCCGATCCAATCGTAGGTCCAGTCGAAGTAGGTGATCATCCACCCTACGCAGTAGGGAATGGCACCAAAGGATGCGAGGCAAATACTCCAAAAGTAGAGCCCTTTGCGTTTCTTAAACGTGGTGAAGATGAGGCCGAGGAGTTCAAAGGCGTTGTATAGCGCTAATGTCGAGCAGGCCTGTCAGGATTGTGTCAGAGTAAGCAACATCGCCGATCTGCAAGGGAAGTTTACAATGACCAGGACAGATTCGGGGTCGTAGCCTTTGGGAGCCATCCGAGCAAAACTGCCATTGGTGGTGTTTGATGTTGACATTCTCCTGGTTGGACGCACAGCCCTCCTTATGGAGACGGAGGAGTGGTTCGATTGAGTCAATGCAACGATGATGATGCACAGTTTAAAAACAGAGTATACTTGCGTGTCGCTCGGTGGGGCGCCTGCACTTAAGAAGTCGCGCGACGGACAGCGAGACTCCTGATCTGCCACATTAGTCGCGAGTAGCGAAATCCGGGGCTCATTTCCGGGGAACGCGGGGGAGGGTCTTCCCCAGAGTACCCAGTACTCGTGCACACATTGCGCTGTGCTCGAGTCAGTCTCCAGGCTCAATCAACCCAGCAACAAATGTCGCCAACCATTTGTTTCCCGAAGACGACATCTTGGGATATCTCGCCCGAAGGCTATTGCGGGGCAGCCGAAGCATTACGTCGACATCTTTGTATTCTCAGAGCTAGCCATGGGTCTGACAATTTTTGGAGGAGCGAACAAATCGGGGCGCGTCCAGAGCGCCATGGTGTAAATCTACAAGGGATGCGTGGCAGGTGGATTGGGAAATTATCTACATGCAGTAATTCTCTCCGGTTCCAAACGCTTTCGATAAATAATAACTGAAGTTCTTCCTAACTATCATGGTAAAGTCAGCCCTGCATCACCCAGTTTCACCCCTACTACTACTACTACTGTACAAAGGACCTGTCGTTTTCTGTCGACATTCTGCTTTCTGGACAGGAAACCACATTTTCATCCGCGCACCCCCCCCCCCCCCCAAATAAAAAGCAAGTTCATCTAACAACAACCGAACTTATACCGACTGGAATAATAATACTACTAGTTAAGCTTTCGGTAAATTCTTCTATTTCATCAATTAACTCGGTTTAATGCCAAGCCCATCAATCTCTCGGCGGCTGCATGTACAGATCTGAACAATTTTACAACTCATGCAACCCAAAAATAGCCCAAGGAGAAGTCCGGTCGGCGAATTGAAGCAGTCGGCGAATTCAATATCCCGTGGCCACACGGCCTAAGAACCGGGGATAATCACAGTCCGGTACTCTCGTAACTCCCTTCTAGGCCTCCAGTTCAGGCCTTCAGGAAGCCCAATTATTTAATTTCATCTGAGGCATGATCCGATTGGGGTTCCCCGGTCGGAGAGGGACTGACCAAGGCGTGCCCCGGCCCAAACTATTCATTAAACTGTCTTCTCCGAGATCGCGCATCATGGGCCGACTTGTGTAATCCTAGCGTATGACAATTGTAGTGTCGGGCAAGGCTCGGAACCACTACATCCACTCCACTTTGGACCAAGTAGAGTGGATGTACGATTTTTTAGGCAATTACATAGTGGATGTAACACATATTCGACCGGAGTGGAATGGATGTACACGCGTGGATTTATAAGTGGATTTATAAGTGGATTTTTGAGGCTATTCACAACCTCGTCGGTGCCTATTCAGCCTCACTTTCAGAGGTTGACACTAACTCTTCAGCCTGTTGCTGCTGTGATGAATCGTCAACCTCGCTGGCGCTGTCCTCGCCCTCCAATAGCCATTTTGACTTAGCAATCGCCAGCTCATCGTCGCTTAGAGTGCCACAGCCAAGAGCTAGTATCACGAGCGCGTTCTGGCCAAGTCCAGCCTCTGAAATGGCGAAAAAGACGGTCTTCGAGGTGCTGCTGTTGGCCTGGCTGGGCTGGCTGGTTGGCTGACATCGACAAAAAAATTTCTTTTGCAAAAACAAAGCAGGAAATCTGTAGAAAACGCGCTCAATAGTGGGTAGTTGACACTCTTTACACTCTTTACACTTTTTACACTCTTTACACTTTTTACACTCTTTACACTCTTTTAGGCGAAAGGATAGGTTGGGGCTGCCGTGAACGTGGCATCGTGAGATGGACGCGACCGCCGAGGAGATCCTGGTCGCGGGTGGGGATTCGGTGACCGCGACGCGTCGCTCGTCGAGACCCGTGAAACCAACCGCGAAAGCCCAAAATTTTTGGCAAGTAGCCTCAAGCCAGGCCGGAACATCGAAGAATGCCGGCACAAAGCAAGTGGCAGCAGGCGACAACGACTGAGACAATGCGGACGAGAGACTGCAGGCCGTGGATGGCGCGGCCCGCAGCGATTCATCGCTAATGCAGATGATGTTCCAGACGACGCTCCAGACGATGCTCCAGGAAACGTCGAGCCATCTCATGGACAAGCAGAAACAGATGCTGGAGAGGCTCTGGGATGCTTTGATGGAGAACCAGCGAAAAGCGGCAAAGGGAACGAGCGATCAGCTGGAGATAATCCGACAACTGCAGCAGGAGATACGGACGGTCAGGGCCGAGGCGGCTGACGACCGGAAAAAGGCCGAGGAAACCAGAAGCATGCAGGGAACAGACAGCACGTGAGATGAAACAGATGCGCGAGCAGCTGAGTGAACAGCTCAGGCAGGTGAGGGAACAAGCGGCAGAAGAAACAAAGCAGTTGCGAGAGCAGCTAGACGCGATGGCCAAAAGTATTCAGGCCAACAGCGCCCAGACGAGCCCGCACCCATCGTATGCAGACGTAGCCCGTACCCCGCCGTCAAGCCAGCCAAGCAACGTTCAAACGCTCTCGTCGATACAAACAACACCGTCCACGCTTATCGATACCCTCTTCTGCACTATCGACACATCACGTGTCAACGAGGAGGAGAAGGGCAAAGCGCAAGTGGGAGGAATTCGACAGGCCATTGAGGAGGAGATGCGAAAGAAGGAGGGCCGACAGGACTGGAGGTGTGCAGCCGTAGTGAGGAATGCAAAGAACGCAGACCGTATTAAGGTGATCTGCCGAGACGAGTCGGAGATGAAGCTCGTCAAGGAAGCGGCGGAGAAGACAGCAGTCACGGGCGCAAGAGTCCTCAGGGACCAACTATATCCGGTCAAAATTGACGGTGCAAACAGGGCAGCGGTACTGGGCTCAGCTGGCAACGTGCTGCCAGGCGCGGCGGAGGCGCTGGGAAAGGAGAACGGAGTGACGATTGCCAAGATGCACTGGCTCAGCGACAATGAGAATAGGAAATCCTACGGCTCGATGGTGATCTACGTTACGAAGGTGAGCGATGCGCAACGCTTGCTGGAAGAGAGATACTTTCACCTCGCTGGGGAGTCGGCCAGCACCAACGTTTTCGAGCGACGCCAAGGCCCGGTCCAATGCTACAACTGTTGGGAGCTTGGTCACAAGGCCTTCACCTGTAACAGGCCCAGCGATGTGGCAAATGTGCAGAGACGGAACACCGGCACACACAGTGCCAGGCGATCGAGCCGAAGTGCGCTCTCTGCGGAGGGCCACACGAATCGCTCAGTCGCAACTGCCGAGTGCGACAAATGCATGGCAACAATGTGTACTAACCTCCAGATCCTCCAGCTCAACGTGGGGAAGAGGGATGCAGTGCAACTGAGCATGATGAACGACGGAGACTTGCGGGACTACGCGGTGCTGGCAGTAGCCGAACCATACGTATTGAACATTGACGGTGCGGTGGACGATATAAATACTGCTTCCAAAATTCCTTGAAGTTGGCGGATGATACGATACATAAAGCCTACAGTTAATTAATAAACATAAAGCCCAGGAGATAACGCTATCCATATCCTAAGTACGTTAAATACTAGGGGCGATTTTTTAAGACCTCTGGATGTTTAAGTTTAGGCGACTATCTCCACCACTTAGTATTAAGGACTAATCCAGCTGAACCTGTTCGTTTTTGTCTGTCCGAGCATGAGGTGATGCAGTACCAATTGCATCTGGTACCATAAGGTTCCGCCAGTAGTCAGCCATATCCTTTAGACCGAGCCCAGGCCGTGCATCCCCGCTGATATTTTCTCCTTCTTTTTCTTCTTCTTCTTCTTGGTAATCGCATGAATACCCCTAGTTTCTTTCTAAGAAACCCTTTGCTAAGTAGATATCCGACTCGGAAGGAACACTGGTGTTGTTGATGTCTATCTCACTTTTAGCATCTAAGACATCCGACTTAGAGCTAGAGTCTATTTCAAAGCGTCTTCTAACTGAGACTCGACGTCGGATAGCAATCCATCGCCAATACCTTCTTCTTGATAGGTTGCGTTCTTATCTATCCGTATTCTACCCGCATCGTTTTTAACTGCTTTGTGTGTATTTGGGTGGGGAGAGGCGCTTATTCTCTTAGGCAAGAAGCCCGATATCAGGGTCAGACATCGAACGAACGGGAATCGAATCGATAGATTCGTTCGATGCCAAGTCTTACGAATGTCAAATCGAATTTCTTGGCATTCGATTCGATGTCGAATCGAATGGGGTGTGCTCCGTTCGACATACGAATCGAACAGGGCGCATTTCATTCGACACCGAATCGAAGGGCGCCAAGCATTCGGTCGATTCGATCGAACAAACCGGCGCGATGCGCAGAAACTTTGCCAGGGGCTGGTTTAGCGTGAGTGATTGACGCGTTGGAAACCACTTGTAAAGCGATCTTCAACGCGGCGCCTGTGATTCGTTCCTCGCTGGTCAGGCTCCTACGATGGTGCTAAGATATGTTAGCGAGTACACCTATCTCCCCGACTCTCCTACGGAGCTTCAGGTACCATGTAACTGTAGCCATCATCCCGGCTGATGTGCTGCGTATAAATTCGGCGGTAACTCGACTTTGTAGCTTGGAATGACACGTCCAGTCAACTTCCATGACGAATAAATCCGACGTGGGAGACGTTGGAAGTACGGGTTATTCCCACAGGTGAATTCCAGCAGCTGAAGTTAGGGGGTACTAGAACACTCGTATAGAATAGGTGAGACGCGTGGTAGCTTCAAACGCAAGGTATAGGGTAGGCATGCCCCATCAATATCGCTGACAAGGCACACTGGAGTAACGTACATGATAAGCGAGTGCCGCATCCAAGCGAGTGCCGCACTTGAAATTTCTTCGTGTTTACATGTCACGGCCCAGGTTGGACCAGGCGGTCACAACCGGCAGAACCATGACGTGCCCACTTTTTCACGTTACTTGTAGTACACGATCAGGGACCCACCACGGCCGATCACCAGTGATCCCGACGGATCACCAGTGATCGCGACCACCGTACTCCTGATCGCCTCACCAGACAATACTATATAGACGAAGACCTTAAGTCCCTAACCAGAGCCTTAAGCTCCTTAGCTATCAACACACTTGGTTACATTGAATCTACTATTCTACCATTACCAGACCGTGACCTACATTGCTCACTACGACGTCCTGATCCACTCGATCATACACCACACGCCTCGGACCTACCCTATACCCTTAGGTTAGACCCGACCGTCACATTACACCTTAAGCTAAAATAATTCTCTAAAATTAAAAAAAAGTCCACACTAGTTAAGGTTTTAAAATAAGCTTTATTATATAAGGAATATTAATTATAAAATTTTCTAGATTTTTTTTTAAAAAAATACTTTATAAGGTTATTAAGAAAAATGTTATTCGCACTGTTTTTATTTAGTTTTTTAGGTTTAATAGCTACATAATTTTTTTAAAATCTAAGAAAAATATTATTATATGACTTTTTTAATTAGATGAATAATTATAATTTCTTTATATTTCTATAAATTATTTGGCGCGTTTTAGAAAATTTAAAGTTTAGCCTTTTAGCAGTACAGTATAAGTGCGGCACTTGCTTGGATGTGTAACGGTCTCAAGGTAGTGTATTGCAACTAGCTAGGCCACTCTACAGAGTATACCAAACTTAAGGAAAGAAGAAGAAGAGAAAGAGGGTAGAGGAGGTCCATCCATAAATATATTTGTCATGGTGGCTTAAAGGTAAAAAGTGGACACAGAGGCCGAGGGTTCCCGAGGCCACCTACGGGCACAGCCCGTTACAGGATGCGGCACTCGCTTATCATGTACGTTATCTGAATGAACATGCCAATTTTCCACCAGAATCAAGGACTGGAAGTAAATAAAAATACCGCCTCTGTACTTCTCTCACTGAGAGCTTTCTATTGGTACCAATTCTAGCGTGGTCGGGTGAATATTTCCGACTTGGAGTTTCCAAATGTTGATGCGTATGGAATCGTGGTCGCCCGTCCGTTTGTCGGACTACACTCTTTGGCCTCCAGGACGAGCAACTAAACTATGCTTTAATTACCAGTGGACTGTTATACCAGCGTATTCGCAGGCACCCCGCAGTGCTTTCACGTCGACCCTCAAATTCAGTCCCCAGCATTCCACCTCACTTGCATCAGACTATAAAGAGTCCAACAGTCGATTCTTCGTCGGCACCAGAATGGACTGAAGAAGGAGACGAACACGCTGGCGTGGAGGAGGACCTGACGGGATCATCATTCGAGTTTAGCGTCCTCCTCAATGGTCCATGCGCAGCAGCACGAGCCAATAGGGGCCATTGAAGCGACAGGAACAGGGAACATTTGGGACCGTGGCGGCCCGACTCGATCCACTAGACGGCTTAATTGGCTGGTTACCAAGCGCCGGCAGTGCCAGACCGACACCTCAAGAATCCCTCAACACCAATGGCTCCAAGAGTTGGTCTTGCCCACGCCCGCACCTCGGCACGCGACTCCTTCAGATTGGACGCACCAGGTCGTCCTGTTATTTGCACTGCTGAGCGAATGCTTCATTCATTCGTACGAGTTTATCAGTTCAACGACACTGGCGACCTCGTGAATTTCGTGCGCACGATGTGCCTGACATGCGTTTGGTCTCCCGTTCCTGTCCAATTGGCTGGTGGAAAATCAACGCCCATCGCTACCCGCGGCTGTCTCTGATGGCAGTTAATATGCTCACTATCCCATCGTCGTCTTCAGAGAGTGAGAGGACCTTTAGTAGTGCAGGAAGGATGATGGCACCATTGCGAAACCGGCTGAGAAGGGAGATAGTGGCGATGGCTCAATGCATTCGATCGTGGAGTAAAGCTGGGATCTACAGGGCTTCACTGCCGCTGCTTAGCATCAGTGATAACCAATGGCTTGACGCACTTGCGAAGTCACGATGTTCTGTGATGTTGTCTACGTGCACCAGATTAGTCATCTGTTCGATCGAGTCTTGGCATTCGATAGATATCGAATCTACAGACGCGTTCGATTCGATTCGAATCTACAAGGGTCGCATTTGATTCGAACGCCAAGGCTTGGCGTTCGATTCGATAGATTCGATAGATGTCTGACCCTGCCCGATATGCTTTCTCTGTCTGAGGAATCCGATATAGTGGCATTATGTAACTATAAATCTGAAGTATCGTAGATATCATCATCTCCGGTAGAGTGATACTAGTCACCATATGGCTCCATTACGCACGATCTCAACACTGCCTCTCCTAATGGGCTAGGCGAATTTAAGCCCTCCTTAATTATTCTGTGTAGTTTAAGGTTACCGGTAGTGAGTGGTGTCTTAGTTCGATCTGGCCGGCTAGCGGTATTTATAAGTATATTAAGGCAGCTTATTGACTCTGGGCGACATTGCAGTGAGGATGAAGGTGGTAAAGCTTCTATCGGTTGGGAGATATAGACTTGAAATCGGATATCTCTATGCACCGAGCTCCGAAGCCGTCATCGGGCGCGTTTAGCAATAACAAGAAACGCTCAAATAAGTTTAGCTACACAATCCACGCCATGTCCCGCAACGTGTCCTTCCGGGCAATCCTCATCCGGTCCTTGGATCATGATCCCTATTCTCCCGTACGTGCCGTCTCTCGGTCCATCATTCGGGGAACCGTGCGGCAGCCCGCGCCGTCTTTCTCATGTATCCTTCTGAGAACCAGCGCGAATGTCTTCCTGCTTGTATCTCTTCGCTTTTCATTCTTGAACTTGGGCTCCTGACACAGGTGAAGAAGATATATCGTACTCCCCACGGGCACACAGCTGGGACCTTCTGCGACTAGATCGTAGTCCGGTGCGAATACCAGACCAGTGTCGTCATGAATCGCCAAGTAATGCTGCTTTTCACCAGGAGTATTCGGGTCGGCAATAAGCCTAGCCGAAATCATGGGCCCAAATAGCACCATATGCGCAGCAGTCAATTGCGCCGTGTCATCGTCTCCCGCGGGTGTGACCGATGTCTCTACCAACACGGTCCGTTGTTCCAGCGGCTCCGTCTTTTGAATGTATTTCTTGCCTAGAATCGTCCGTAGGTTCGTATACGACACCGGCACTGCGACAGACGCCCACGACCATGTTGGCGCATTCCACTCCTTGGGCCTCGCCTTCGCCCTGTCGACTGCCAGCCACGCCAGGTCCTCCACCACGCTGCTCTCCCATACACCAGCGAGATACCGATCGCTTCGGTACCGCTTCATATTCTTGACTACGCCTGATATGGCTGGGAAGATGTCCTTCCTGTAAGTCAATTCCGTCCTGGTATAATGCTCCACGGTACTCCTCCACTCGGGCTGGATATCCTTTTCGTCCTCGGCTGCCGTCATATTCCTTGTGTGTCCTCCTTTCGTATGCGCCCACCTCGGTTCCGATTCATACGTCTTTGTCTCACCCATACATTCACAAGCACAAACCTCGTTACACTCCCACGCCACCTCGACGTCTCCTAAGTGCAATAGCCTTGGCGACAGTAACCGTTCCTGAAAAACCCACCCACGCGTCAACAAGGGAAAATTGCCTGGCGTGAAGTCACTTTGATGCGAGCCCTCTGACGAGAAGAAGTGCGGAATCGTCTGCCGAACATAGGCGTGTCGAACCGTCCCGTCCTGTGCCCCATGCTCAATTCTGGTCGCTATGTATTCGGGTGGGCTGACAGAAAAGTAGCCATCGTTTGGATTCCGCGACTTTGTGCCGGCGATGGTGACGTAGGCGTTTTGGAAGATTTGCGCCATGAGCGAGGCTTGTTTCCGCCAGTCGTCTCGGTCGTCTTGGACGATGCAGAGGGAGTCGATCCAGATGTAGCGAATACCCAACTTGCGCGTGAGCTGGATGGCGTCGCGATACCCTTGGGGAAGAATGTCCCAGGGAATCTTGGCGAGATAGTCGTGGTATCTATCTTGCAGCAGTCGGATGTCAATAGTACCGCCCCAGCAGTAACTCAGACACACGTAGCGGTCTTTTTCGCCTAGGACAGACATGAGCTTGATATCAGCATCAAGCTCTGTAGAACCAGGAGGGCCAAGGTCCAAGATGCGAGGCGGTAGCTGTGTGTCATCCGATACGTTGCACAGCCCATGCTTTTGAACACAGTGATTAAGTCGGTTCAGAAACCATCCAAAGGCGGCGTCGGACGATGTGTCGCCTGAAATCTCGGCCGCCAGGCCAACCGTATCCCACGACGCAGGAGACCCTATATATGTGAGTCAGCCCCTCCCATCCTCTTCTCTCCATCTCATGGATATCGGATCACTCACCTTCAACACCGAAAAAGTTCAACTCGCCTACAACCTCCGAAGGAACACGCCTCGCATCCGTAAGCAGATGCCTCACATCTCCCTCGCCGCTCAACAAAACTCTCACCCCCAGCGCCCCCGGCATCGTCGCCGACCTCAGCTTGGTCCGCACAAACTGTCTCCCCGCGCAGCCCGCGTTCCAATCCTCTTGGACTCCCAACCGTCCGCTGCCGAGTGCTTTCTTATCCTTGATATAGCGTCGTACGCCTTCGGCCAAGATTCCGCATGATGGACACTCTGCTTTCGCGGACATGTCCAGCTCATGTAGGTACGTCATAAACCTATCCATGTCGCCGCAGGCTTTACATTTTCCCTTGTCGTCCCTCTCAATACGCGGCGCGCGCACGCCCAGGTTTGTAAGAGCCGACGTGACACGCCCCTTGACTCCATCAGCGATAGCGCCTGCGCGGATAGCCGTATTCAGCAGACCAAACTTGTTGTACTTTTCAAACGTCTCGTCATCTGAGTCGTCGTCTGAGTCGTTGCGCTCGTTATAGTGGACCCAATCGTTGTCGTCGCGGCCGATGACGGCTTCGTCAACATCGAACTGAATGTTGAGAGGCATGCTGACGTTCGGTCTCGATTGTACTCTGATAATTGATCGTTTCTGAAGAATTCATAATGCCGGGGGATGTTGTTTAAATGTCGTGTCGTACCCTGGCTTCACGATTACGCCTGGCCGCGACCCTACCTAACCGCCCAACCCATGCCGTGGCGGAGCGCAAAGTCGATAAACCTCTTCAGCTCAGGCTGACTCGTCTTTCCAATATGACAAATCTCTCATCCCAAAAACCCTACTTTCCAACCGTTCAATCCCCCACACCCAAGTCACGTCGCGGAATGACGCGGAACCTAGTGCCATCACGCAACGGCTTCGCGCAAGCCATGCATTGAAGTCTTAGAACCCCTCCTCGCTGTATCGACAACCACTGAATCCCGCTTGCGGCGCCGATCATTTCCTCCTTGCAGCCAGCTGAAAACCCTGAGACACGCCAAGACATTCTTGGGGTTGAACGTTGACAGGGCTTGTCTTTGGGACTATATGCCGATGGATGATGGGCTTGGTCGTTTAACTGAATGCTCCATACAAGGGGCCAAAGTTCTGATATCGTAAAGTAATACACATGGAACCTTTTTACAGGTTAGATAACCAGAACAACCTATGGACAATGCAGCCGGGAACGTTTCGTTCCAGACGAGGTCTGCCTCGTGACAGCCACCGTCCCTTTCTAGGCTGCACTGGGGCTACCAGCGGTTCACGAGCAGGGATCTCACCCAATCATAATCCTTTGACAATACACCATTTTCACCACTAAATCTGCAGGTGTGGCGGGCCCACACGCGATTAGACCATAACAAACAAGAGTTAGCGCGATTATTTTAATACAGTAACAATGACGTAGTTCACAATTTCACAGAATCTAATGACTTATGTTTCTTTGATCTTACCGGTTTATTCAGTCCGCTCCAGGATAAAGAAGTAAAGGGAAATATGCGCATTAATCAGAGCTGAAGCCCCAAGACCTTCAACAAGCAAATGAGATACTAAGCCGGTGGCGGAGGGCAAAAGGGACCTGACAACCAAAAAGAGGAGTAGTGACAGTAGATCCAGGAAGGCAAGCAATTGATCAGATGAATGTTGATGGGCAGGCGGTGAGAGAATCGTCAAGAAGTGTTGGTCAAGGAAGGTCGCCGCAAGCGAAGGAAAGGCGTTGTGGCGCATACGACAAGACCGGGCATAACGCAAGAAGATGTCAGATAGTTGTTGCGATATCTGGGGAAGATTATAGCGAATAATCTTAATTGATTCAGTGATTTTTTGTGATTTTGTGGTGATTTCTATTTTAAAGGTTGAGGTGTTTTTTTTGGGGGCTTGTGACGGTACAAGAGCACGAACGAGGTCGGGTGCGACTTGGGTAAAATGATTGTTTACAAGGAGAGAAAGAGATTCCTAAGGAAAGCTCTGACTTAAGTTATTTACACAAATTCATAAAGTGGGACTATTCATAAAGTATGAAAGTCACATGATCGTTCCCTCACATATGGACCTCCCTTACTCCTTCGCTTCTGATCAGGGTTCAAAGCCACTACACTCCACTACACATTCGAGGATATGGAATTGATGTGGATGATGACTAAGATCACGGCAGTGGAATGGATGGATATGGATCCATTATGGATGTGAATCCACAATGTGGAAAGGATTTCCACATGACGAGCAAGGGATTTACTCCCCTGCATAACTCAACCCCTGGCATATCGCCATCATGGAGACTTGATGAATTTTTCGAATTCATCCTCGTCGCCGGGCTCATCCAATACACTCATTGATTGCTTGATTCGCTCGTACGGCGATATCTCTCGTCGCTCATCATCCGGCTGCGTCGAAGGTATCGGCGCAAGCGGCCGGTCCTTGTACTTTGCCCACAGTTGCCGTGCAGCAGCTACAGGTCCCTCTCGCCACTCCTCTGCCCAGTGACGGTCAATGTACCTCCGCCGCTTCTCTGGATGGAGCAACAATGCTGTGACGTATATTGGATTCTTGTCACTTTCCCGGTAATACTTCGAGAGGACCCACCAACCCATGTGGATGGAGTTGACCATGTGTCTGTTGTCAATATACTTGAGCTGCTCTAACATTAGTATGGATTTGCTCTTGGACAGCGTCGACAGCATTATCGCCTTATACGCACCTTGGCATCCTCAAATTGCTTGAACAGAATATCCATGTTCTCCAGCACCTGGTCTATTGATGCCCACTCCATTTGCTGCTCCAAAGTCGCCTGGTAAAACGGTTGTAAGAACTCATGGGTCATTTTGAGTATTTGCCAGTCGTCATGGGTGAGGATGTCGTCCTCCAGTTCCTTGTGGTACTGGTTGAGGAAGATGGACATTGCGCCTTCTTGGCGAATGGCTGCGTCAAGCAGCCTGAACCATGAGTTCCACCACGTAATATTGTCAATTCCCAGTGCCTTTCCCGCAATGTCGTCCCACGCATCGTTGTGAATCGTGGAATTGCGGATGAACACGGCAATGTTATGAAGCTTGCCTAGGGGCCCGACGCTCCGCCAACCGGCTGCGTCAGTCCGCCGCTTGGGTTTGCTGTGAGACTTTTGGTACGTACCATTCGACTGAATGCAGCCCTGCAACACGTCCGCAATAGTTGCATCATTTGCCTCGTCCTGCACCTCCTCAATCGCGGCCTCCAGGGCACCTTCACTGGTTGCAAAAAGAAAGGCTTGCAGGGACAGGTTGATGATGTGGCCGGCGCATCGCGTCCGTGAGGTTACCGGATCAAATGCAACGCCGTACTCCCGCGATAACTCTTGGGCGAGTTGGCGGAGGCAGGTGTCGTTCTTTGTGTCATTGTCGCCAGTGAAATAGCCGATGTTGTGGGCTAAAGTGAATTTCCGGATGATGTTCATTAAATGAGGTACCATAGCCGCGCCGGCGTGAGAGCGGCGGAGGTTCGGAAGCCCCAACAGCGCCTTGCGAGGCACGTAGGCCTCGTCAACCCACTGCGCGTGGACAGCGATGAATAACTTGTGCTGGGGAGAAGACCATACATCCATGGAAATATGTATGAGGCTCCGAGCAGTACCCAACCACCTCTTAACCGACTGCTGATGCGCTGCGTGTGCGTTATCCAAGTCCGCCGCAACCGTGCCTCCAGAATCCGTCAGGAACTCTTCGACCGCAGGGTTTATTGCAGACAGAAGCGCTTGATACTCTGGCCACGTTACAAGTTTAGAGGGAGGTGCCTATGTACCGCTAGCAGCATCTGAGCCTCCCGAAAGGCATCAACGTTGATTACACCGCGCAGCGTGTTTGTCTCCTTCTCCCCGGCTTGCTGTAACTGCTTGGCCGCTGTTCTTGCAAAGGCGTTTTCGATGGCCAGCTGACGTTTGCTTTGCGATCTTGAATCCTCTCGAACCACTACATTATGAGCGTTCTCGAGATGATAGCGGGCGTTGCCGGATATGTGGGTTGACCAAGGAGGGTTGCGACAACGTCTGCAGTAGTGCAGTATCTTCCCGCCTTTTGCGTGTGGCTCATCGCCCTCGGCTTCTCGAAAGTGATCCCATGTTGAAACAGCTCGCAGCTTCCTTCTCTTAACCATATGCTGGCAATCGGGTTCTGACAATGAGCTGGCGGCTTGCGATATGCTGTCAGAAGGCAAGAGGGAGGAAGAGTCGGACGTGGCTTCAGACGGAGACATCTTGACGCTCATGGTTGTCGTTGTGCTCATGGGACGTGTTGCTGATAGGGTGAAAATTGGGTTCTACAGCAGGCAAAGCTGGGTTGACTGGGCTACCTAGTGGACCCCCAAATAGCGGGGCGTATTAAGAATTATTGATAATATATTGTTATGGCCCAAGGGTATATTCTTATCCATATGGCTAAGCTTAACAATAATTATCATTAAGCCTTAAAAATATATTTATTACTGGGATGTCTGCAGCAAAGGCAGTTCTGGGTACCAAGAGATCCTCTCTTTGCGATGTACAAAATCATGTTCCCGAACGAGGTCGAGATCCGGAAAAGGATGTTTCGGAGGAAGAAAGGACATTTTCTTGTCCCTGGTCCGAACTACCAGTGGTGCATTGATGGTCATGACAAGCTCAAGGCGTACGGATTCGAGATATACGCTGCAATCGACGCTTACTCGCGCAACATTATCTGGTTTTATGTTGGCCACTCTGCTACAACTGCTTTGAGCGTTCTGAAGCAGTACTTGGCCGCATGCGACACATACGGCTTCCGGCCATGGTATCTGCAGGCAGACAGAGGTAGCGAGACGCCGCTAATCGCTGCAGCTCATTGGAATTTTGCTTTGGCGGCAGACGGACGGGTGGAGTGGAACGGGAAGGTTTTCCAGCAAGGGAAGCGCCTAAAGGATTCCTACAAGGCCGCACCGAGCACAAAGAATGTCAAGATCGAAAGTTGGTGGGAGCGCATGCTGCATGTATCTTCCCGGCAGTGGGTGGACTACTTTGGGGAGCTTGCCAGGGACGGGGACTTCGACGGCGATATGCTGGAGGATCAGATCGCCATCTATGCCGTCTTCGAAGATATATTACGCCAAGAACTCTTCGACTTTGTGGAGGCGTGGAACATTCATCGGATCCGCCTTCAGAAGAACCGTCCGCACGTGGTCCACGGTCAGCCCTGGATGAACTACCATTACCCGGACCCAGAGAAGGCATGCAACTGGGGGATCCCCATTAACCGCTCGGTTCTAGAGGACTGCACAGACCACTGGCTGATATCGACATTAGCAGTTGTTTGGAGCCACAGACAAAGGATTGGTGTCGCCAAGTTCTCGTCGAAATGGGCTACGATGACGTCGTCCATGGGACTCACCAGGAGCCAGACAAACTGCGGCCTTTCAAGCGATTCTACCTGGGCCTTCGAGATAGAATCATTCAGCACATCGAAAGTGGCCGACAGCCTACATTGGCATATCGCAAAGCGCCAACAGGGGGCGTTGCCGAATATGTAGCCCTGCCGTTTCTCTGCGGGTTCGCGAATCTAAACGCATATAGGAAGCATTGTACGACCGAGCAAATCAGGCTTTCCACAATGAACTTGGAGATGGGGAACCAGCAGAGCAACCACTTGTTGAACTAGGATATGAGGACGAAGAAGGGAACGATATGGAGGGAATAAGTGATGATGAGCAGGATGGCGAGACTTCAGATGAGGAAGCCGAGTAGTCCATCCTTCCTATTATGTCGGACAGCAAATGTTGCAGGGATCTTTGTCCCTTTGAAGCGTGTGGATCGTGCTGGTGGAAGCGCCTCATCGATATCAGTGCCGGGCAGTCGAGCTTGATCGCTATTAATGCTCTGAGCAATGAACTCTCGGGTTACCTGGTAGTGTTAGAACTAGACTCTGCAATGAGGTGATTTAGTCTCTTACGAACTCCGGGACCAAAATCTCCTCATCATCTCCCCCGTCCACTACATCTCCGTCACCTGCCATACCTCCACTCCCCTTATCGCCAGGGATGCCGTCAAACAATAGATCACGAAGCGGATCTTCCACTTCACAGAGGTCTGCCACATCTTCGTGTACAATGATCTCCTCAACAATATCTTCAAGCTCATCGTCCGTTGGGCTCTGGCGGGAGGCAGTCGGGACAGGCTCTTCCGGCTTCACCTTGATGTGTACCCCCTGCTTGACCTTGTACGTGTCCCCGGTGCGACTCTCCTTCTTGACATGTTCCTCCTGCTTGATGCGTTTTTTGCGCCGGGGCGCAGGACTCGGGTCTTCTTGCTTGACCTTCCGTTTCTTTTCTTCCTTGACTGGCGTGGAGTATTCATCTGGCCTAAGCGGTGTGACTGGCTCCTGCTTGTCGACTACATCCGTGGATGTAAGGACGACTAGCACCTTCAACTGTCCTGCCTGATTGTTGCCGAAGTGCCCCGAGGCGAGCATACTCGACGGGGTTGTGTACTTGTCGGTGTTCGGAACGGTGACGATCTTCTTGCCAGAGAAACTCGAAGCGTAAGAAAGGCTCCATAGGTCTCTGTTCGTAAGATCGATTGTGGGCGGGAGCGGACGGAGATGGTCGAACAAAATCGCGGTGAATGAGGGCCAAGTCAGTAAATCTGACGAGGAAAACTTGATCACTGTATCTTTCAGAGGCAGCACCGTCTCCGGAACCTCCACTGCAAGCCCATTGAAATACCTGGTCTCCAAGCTCACAAGCAGGAGACTTATATGTACCCACTGGTACCCCGTCCGCTGCCTCATAGGCTTTCTGGTACTGGTTTTTGTATCCTGAATGGCCCGACTGGCCGCTGATGCAACTGTCATGAAATGGGGATTGCCCGGCGCCTCAGGAGGAGGTATGCGTGCTCGTGTATTCACCGTGCCGGGAGCAGACACTTCGTTGGGGAGCAGTTGAGCCGTGCGTCCAATGCTGATGAATGACACGGGTTTCGGTCTTTCACGCAGCAGCTGGCTTGCTGGACTGACTGACCGTGGCGGGGAGTCCTCAACCTCCACCACCTCATCGTATGGGCCCGGAAGTGCCGGAGTTTTGGACCTGGCTTGATGCTGGAGCCGAAAGGGGTTGGCTAAGCCGCAACGGCCACAATAATTCGCGCCAACATACGTCGTGGTGAAGAGTTCATGATGTTTCTTTCCGGCTTGGACGCAATAGACATGCTCGGGGGGAATCTTTGGAGGGCTCATTTCGGTTGAAGAGAGGAGGTGAAAGTCGGAAAGGAGAGAAAGGGGTGAATCTGGTTTCCACTGAGGTTTTAATTTAACAAGAATAATCAATATCACCCTTTCCTATGGTGGATGAAGTCGCTAGACTCATTTGAGCAGGAGGTTACTGCGCTAATCCGCTGCGGACTAGGAGCGGGATCACTGCGGTGACCCTTTGTAGGCTCACCAAGTTGCTCCTTATCCGGAGGTCAAGATGAATGGGTAATTAAGCGCTCGCGATTTCTGGAATAGGTGCATTTTAATTGCGAAATAGCAAACGGCGTTGGATTCGAGGCCAACTCAGATTGTCAGAACCATCTTCTAGACATATTTTGTGACTATTTTGGTAGTAGCAACCAGTCCACCATTTATTGACTGATGTGGTGAGCATGAAAGTCAATGGCCGAATGCTACCGCGCGAGCCCGCTGCTAGTCCGCGGTACATATCCCATGGCGTCCCAAAGTACCAAGATGACTAAGGAGTTGAGCGCCTAAACCCAAAAGGAAACGACCGGGGGGATTGAGCACTTCCTCTTCCGATGCAAAAAGTGGACAATGCAACGGGAAGCCATGTTTAAATGCTCGCGAACAAAGATTGGGAATTTATCGTTCTTCTTGGGAGGAAAAGCTGCCTCGGACGACGAAAAATGGACGCCAAACATGCAGGCTGTGCGTGCGGCAATCAAATTTGCTATCGCGACAAACAGGCTGGGCGCGGACCAGCGGCATCGGCAAACTAACCTCTAGCGTGCGACTCTACTAACACAAAGCAGCCTCGATTTTGGCAGACCGTGCTTCAGCTGCTGAAGATAGGATGCTGAACACTTGCAGAATTTGGCCTTCAAGCAGGCCTGTCATGGACATGCAGCGACGAGGTTGAGCAGCAAGCGATGAGACGACGATCCGTGGGGCTTGGGGTGTCAGGTACCAAATGTACTGAAATGTGAACTAGATTGTGTCAAGGCCCTATAGGGACTTCCCTCCGGGCGAAATAAAATCCATCCATCCATCCGTAACCATGCGCCACCACCCTTTTGGTGACCCCACCCTTTTGGTGGGCAAAATTTCCAGCTCCCCATACAAAACTCAACCTGTTCACTTGCATAGGTTTCAGTCAATTTTGAAGCTGTAGACTGTTACATAATATGCATCTCTCATATACACAACTTATCAGCGCCTCCTGTTGGAGTGTGCATTCCACTTTTGGTCTGATGAGTTAGTGAGACAGAATGCGATATAGACAAATAAAATACATGGAACAGCACATGATTTGGGTGTTGGCTATCGACCTTTTCCGCCGCTAAAGTAGTATTGTCAACTACAACTCCAACAGCATCCATATAGCTAAAATTCGGGGCCGCTCTGACTCTCTCCATGGGCTAGTCAGGCTTGATGCCCTTGTGGGCCCCACGTTACCTATGGTCTTCAGCAAGGGATTCAGTACACGAGGGCTACCACGAGTCGAGCTAACCGACAGTAGTCACTCTCCACAGTGACGTCTGCAGGGCGACTTACGGAGGTTGACGCTTGAAGTAATGTGACCCCGACCCACACCGATAGGGGGGGTCATTCAAATCACTTCTCGGGCCCTCAATGTACCCTGCACTACACTACTGTACGCGATCTAAGACGCGTTCCTTCACACACATCAATATAGATGCCATACAGCAGCAATTGCAGCAGCACCTTGATCATATCCAGCTGCTCCTGCAGGCCCAGCAGCAGCTAGACCGCATTCAAGCCTATCTCCAAGACTTTGTTCCTAATGTTTGGGCAGTTTGGCATCTATCCTACATCCCTCTCTGCCTCAATCCTACCAGTATTCATTCTACAACCCCCCTTATTTAGACCTGTCTCAGTCCTACCAATTTCAAGCTAGCCCTCCTTACTGAGTCCAATTCTACCGGTAACATACAGCATAATGGCATTCTTCAGCCTTCTCGTTTTAGTGTGTAGGACTCGAGAGACTGCTGACCCAGTGACCCCTGGGCTGGTGCTGGAGGAGCCACCAACTAAGAAGCGGAAGTCATCGGTGGAGCGGATTTGTTGTAGCAAACGGTCCGCTTCTTGGCCAGGTTTGGCCTGCAATGCACAGAATAGCGTCTCCAATGTTTGCAGGCGCGACTTCGGAGCGGCTCTCCTCAACTGGTACTCGTAGCGGCAGGACCGTTCCTTGGCAATACAGGTGCCACACCGTGGTCGGCGGCCATCGCACTAGGGAGGCACCAATTAATCGGGAACTGCGAATGAAGACGAGACTAATCACCGTCACTTTGCTCTGATGGCAGTCCTGGCAGGCCTGCCCCACGCTGCGGATTCTCTTGCCGAGCCTCTTACTGGCGACTACAGCACCACGTGGCCCCGCGAAATTATGGTGCTGTGGCGATTGCTGAGCAGCTGGCGGGATCGGGCGAAACGAGGAAATCGTGGTAGATCATGTCAAGACACTAGCACTGGGGCTTTGCTGGGTATCCTGTTCTCTGGAGGGCGACTGCCGCGAGCAAGAGAGAAATATATGAGTTACTTGTCCATGGTATGGATGTGGGTCTAAGGCATGTGGCGAGCATCTACAGAGCACGTTTTCCGCAGCCTTGTCAGAACTACCCCCTGATCACATGTTTCGAAAGAAAACCGCTTTTCTGACTTTTGCAACTGAGCTCGAACAGTTAGCGGCTCCAGTGGCTAGGTCTCTGCTAATTACAAGTGATAGATCATAACGCCTCTGACAAGACTATGACGTTCTCCAAATTGCTGACAGCCAATAGGGAGGGATTCCAGGAGTTTAAAGTCATCAGCGAACCCCCAACCCAAGTGCGGTTCAGCGGGTATTCAGAGCGGTCTGCCCGAATATGGCCGAGTGCGCAGTCTAAGCGATGGGTCGTTGTGCCCAAATATTTTCGAAAGATGCATTTAGACCATCCTAGCAAACTTGTTCTTCTTGGAGGTTCCAGGACGCAGCGCTGAGCTCGTCGGGGAGGATTGCCGACTTCGTGGACTCCTTGCGCTTGGGCATGGCACTGTGGCGGCATGCATGCTGTCTGCATTCGACCTGTCGAATCTAGGCCTGAATCAGGGACATCAACCCAAAAAATCCTCATCAAGGGACCCACGCCACCGAGTCAATAAACTCCAGGCTTGCCTTAGACCCCTCCAAGTCAGCTTTTCAAGATGTGGGCGCACTGACTACAAGTGCCACAGCTGATAATGCTGTTCTGGCCCCGATAGGTTTTGAGATCCCTGGTCGTTTAGACCCCTGTACCTCCTGGACAGCCTCTGTCAGGGCCCCCCCTGCCCCGGGACCTCGAGTGTCCGAGCCGGAGACGAAGATCCCAGCTGGGCGAAGCGATTTAGTATTCGCAAGTGTGCCTCCCGCTTCAAATGTTACTGCTCTTCAAATGTCACGAGAGCACCTGGTCATGAATCAAGACTGTGTGCTGGTTTGAACGGAGTGAGAAATTCAGTGCTGATGAGCACCCGGTGGAAGCTGATTGAGCTGTGGACGCGATGGGGACAAATCAACCGCTCCCTTCAGTGTCAAAAGAGGCCGACTGCTTGATTCTTCCGAGAATATGGTCCGACATCCGGATTCACTTCCCACAGAGACGAGCAAGTGCTGAAAAGCCAGCCTGCATAGGATGCGCCACAGAACATCTTGCTTGAAACCTTGTGTGATGAGGGCGCCATGGGGCGTGCCGGATAGTGTAATTGGGATCGCCTGCAGAATGGCAATATGAAAGCCGTGGTCCCTTCTCACATAATGCAGCTCGTCTTGTTCTCTCACATTTTTCATCCACAAAGAGGTCTTCGGCTCTATCTGAGAGTGACTGCATCAAAATGCCCATCACAAATGGAGTAGAGACACTCTTGGCCGCACCGGATGGGTATGTGGTTGACTTCAACCATCCGCAGCGACAAGGCATCCCACAGGCGTACTACATTGCCGGATTTGGCTCCGCTATTGCGTTGCTTTTCTTTGCGCAACGTTTGTACGTAAAACTGTTTCTTTCAGGCGGGCTACGGATCGATGATGGTGAGTTGAGTTCTTCATGTTTTCTTTGTTATATTTTCTTTGTTTCATCCGGTTCCTTGGCAGTTCTTCTGTTATCCTTTGCCCGAGCGGGTATTGCGTGGCCTGGCTATATGTGGCAGTAGCAATTCTTGGAAGGGACACCTGTGATCAACAATGCAAGGCGCAAGCTGACATGGTGGCGTTTTAGTCTTCTTCATCGTATCGTGGGTAAGTCAAAAGTTCCCTATAACATGTGCCTGAACACGTCGGGGATTCACTCATACACCATTGAAATGGGCCACACC